TGAGCGGCTTGAGGATCGCGTCCTGCTCGTCGCCGACAAAGTTGCTGAAGAGGAAGCGCGCGCCGCTCGTGTACATTTGTATCATGACGATGATGATGCCGCGGATGAAGGTCATGTACTCGGCCATGCCGTCGTCGAGCAGGACGGACTGGAAGGTGAGGGCGTAGCACGTCGCGAGCAGCGCGTTGCCCTCGTCCGAGGTGAAGCTTCCGCCACCACCGCCGCCGCCGCCGCCGCCGCTGCTGCTGCTGCTGCTGTTTGCTTGCTGCTGCTGCTGCTGCCGCTGCTGTCGAGCCCGCCGCGGCGAGTCCGCGAGGGCCTTTTTGACCGCCTTGATGGCCTTGAGACGGTGCGACATGGCGGCCTCGTAGAGGCTCGGGTCGTCCTGCGCGAGGTCCGAGGCCGCGAGGCCCAGGACAGCGTGCATTAGATAATCATGCTGTTTTTTTTGTTTTTTTCCCACACCCAGTGGATAGGGTGGTAAGTCGTCAGCAACCTTTACCTTGAGGAACAGATGGTGGAATAAGAACACACACGCACCTCCTGCGACAAACAAGGCACCTCGTGGGTCCAGACGGCGTCGTTGTTGAGCGGCTGGTGAGGGTAGCACCGGAGCAGAAAGTGCTGGAAGAAGCGCATGTCCTGGAGCGTGAAGACGGGCGCCTGGTGTCGGGGCTGGTGTACTACTACTAGCGCCGCCGCGGGGTACTCGCACTTGAGCCCCGTCTTGACGCAGTGCCCGCACGCCGGCCTGTTCTCTTGGCACTGCCAGGGGGAAGGGGAAGGGTCAGTTCTCCTGCTCGCATCGATAGGTACGGAGATTGGGGGGAAGCATGTTACCTTGATGCGCCGGCGCTTGCAGTTGAAGCAGCCCCTCCGCGACTTGGTGTGGCCCCTCCTCTCCAGCCGCTGCTTGGGGGGCGGCGGCGACCGGCTGCTGTCGCCGCTGCTGCTGCTGTCGCCCAGCGGCACCTGCGCAACAGCAGTAGCAGCAGAATAAGAAGAGATGGCCACCTGAAACGACGACGAGAAGGCGCCGAGGGGCATCGCCGGCTGGGGCTCGCTGCCGTCGCCGCCGCTCGAGCGGTTCGAGGCCGAGCTCTCCTCGGCGAGGTAGTCGGCGTCTTGGGCGGACTCGAGGAAGGCGCCGTAATCGAAATCGTCCGGGCCGAAACCGGCCGCGAGCAGGGACGGGGGAAGGCCGCCGGGCTGCTCGGTGAAATCCATGGCCCAGGACTTCTGGTCTACGGTCAAGGGAGTTTGTCAATTGGCAGGACGTGATGGTTTATTGGGCCTGTTTATGATCCCTGTTTTACTCCTTTCAATCAAGCTTCTCCTGATATAAAGCCGAGACGGGTCGAGATGTCAACCGAGAAAGAAAGCGAGCAGGTAGTTGCGTCAACGAGCCCAGGTCTTTGTACCTTCGTCGATCAACGGGTAGCACGTGCTGGGTTGGCGGTGGCTGTGCCTCGCAAAGCCCACTTGGCCAGCGACCATCTCGGCTGCGGCTCGAGTTCAGCTGGAGGCCAGGCACCAATCCCAATCCCCTCGCTGTCATGGCCAAGGCAACCACCCTCCAAACGGGCCGCTGAGAGCTGACATCTGCCGGGAAGCGAACCCGGGCACGGGCAGCTGCTTGCTAGCTGCCCTTTGAATGGAGCTCGTGGGAGATAAAAGGGTATAGATCCGCCTGAGGATATCCACAAAGCTAGCCGAGGCCAAACACGACCTCGACGAGCAAAAGGTCCCCGGCAGCAAACGTCACCACCAACAATGACCATCACACCCTCCGCACCACCATTCACCACCAGCGGCTCATCCGATCGACGAGCTCTGCCGCCGGGCGCCGCGCCGCGCCACACCGCGCTACTCCCGCCGGCCAGTTCACCCGCGCTCGGCGTCTTGGATCAACGGCCCGGGTAGCGGGGAGAGTGGCCGAGGTCTACAGCGCATGATTCAGGTGGCCTAAACGGCCGTAATAATGGCTAGCCGGGTCATAGATGAGCGGCGGTGCACCAGGACCCAACACGGCCGACACGCTGTCTCCAACCGACAAAGTAGAATTCCATACCCTACTCTACTAATCCTATTCTGACACCCCTCTCCATTCTACCCAGAGACCCCCCTTGCGCTCCTGTCCGTGCCACATCCCCAAACTCCCTTAGAGAACCTAGTGGTTTTGATGTTGTAATCTTTGTTGTTTTCAATCGCCCACTCTGTAATAACAAAAAAGGAAACGAGTGTCAACGTAAAGAACATATGGGTTAACCCGCTCCCCTTGGTGGTGACAAGACAGTGATAGAAAAATACGTCGGGCGCGCTCCCACATGCCTACGAGTACGGGGATAGCCCACTGCGCGCTGAATGATACCTATACTGAGTAATAAAAAAAAAGCCGCGCTTGTGCTGCTTCTGTAGAAACCAACGACGAGATAATGAAACGAGCCTTGTGCAGTGTGTGTGGGACGACGAAAGATGGAAGAAAAAAAAGTTACAAGGTTACTTATAAAGTGAAAAAGGAGGCTGAATCTGAAAAGAAAAAGGAAGCAAGAGGACGACCGGCTGAGTTGACAAAGATCCGCCACCCACGAGCACCACAAGCTCCCAGTTCCCCGTCGCCCCTCCCCAAACTTCCCGCTCCGATATAAGAAAAGAAAACTGCGATGGTATCCATGATATATTTCACATGGCTTCACGCATACGCTCGGCGCCACGTTGCAGTAGCCTAGTCATCGACTGCTGCTGCTCGGCGACCCTACCAACGCTTCCTGCCGCAGCATCCCCAGGGGGCAGCAGCTTGGATACGGCCGAGATGATGGCCGGGACTCTGCTGTACAGTGTGGCGCAGAGCACGACGAGGAGCACGGGGATCTGTTTGGTTGACAAGTCAGTTCGTTAGCACAAGCGTTACATTATAACCCCTTGCCCTTCAAAGGAAAAGGAAAAAAAGGAAACATACCCAGATCATAAACAGGTTCCGATCAGACCGGAGTCCCTTGCGTTTCTCGGCGTGCGCCCGCCTCAGGTTGTCCTGCTGCTCCTTGGTGATGGCGTTCTTGCGCCCGATTTGCAGAAGCTCGGGCAGTTGCTGCCTTGCTGCCATCGACGATTCCGCCTCCATCTCGTCGTCCTCCAGCTCCACCTCTGACGAAACGGCCGTGTTGTCGTAGAGGGCTGCGCATTTGCTGTCCGCCTCGGCCTCGGCCGCCGCCATGGCCGCCGACGCCTGCTTGGTATCCAGGCCCGAGTCCACCTCCCTCGGCGCCTGGTCCTTCTGCGGGAAGATCTCCTCGTAGGCCGGTGGCGGCGCCGCAGAGTTGACCAGCGATGAGAGGTCCCACCACTTGCCGTCTTGTGTCGGCCGCTCGCCCGCAGCATCCGGCCTCCCCCCTCCGCCAATGTTGGGCACAAGTGACGAGATGCGCTGGAACACGGGGGCCGAGTTAAGGTAGCCCTGGTATTCCGACAGAGGCGGCATGACTGGGAAGTTGGGCATCTGCGGCAGCGCGGGCATGTGCAGAGCCATGGCCTGCTGCAAGTGCTGGAACTGCGCGCTAAACTGCTCCCTGAGCGCCATCATGGCCGCCGATGGCGACGGCGGCGCTGCAGGGTCCTCGTGAGCAACCGCCGACTGCATGAGCCCTTGTCTGCTCCCGTCCAGAGCGCGAGGTGATGAGCTTGGCCGCCTCATGTCAAGCCATGCGTCGCCGGCCTGATCCACCACCTCGCCTCCCTCCTCTTCGGTTGCCATCTCCGAGTACTCCGGGCTCTCGCCGGACGACGACGTGCTCTCCGACTCCTCGGTCGAGTACTCCTTGGCCACTGGCTTTGTAGAAGGTGGCTCCCAAAGAGACCGCAGCGATGTGGCGCTACTAGCCCTGCTATGAAGAGATCCGCCGCTCCTGGACCGCACGTGTCTCTCCAGTCGCCGAATAGCCTTCAGCACCTCACGCGACTGCGACAGGTCCGCCGCGGTCAGGCCCGACAGCGTCCGTATTATCGGATCTGCGCCCGCGTAAATCAGGCGTCGCACAATCTCGGGGTGATTGTTGAGCGCCGCGAGGTGTAGGGGTGTGTAGCCTCCCTTGTCACGGGCGTCTGGGTTGGCGCCCCTGGCCAGCAGGCCAGCCACGAACCGGTGAAGACCCAGCGAGCAGGCCAGGTGCAGCATGGTTTGGCCTGTGCGCCTCTGCAGGTTCAGCCGCGCCTTGTGGGTGCTGTCGTCCAGGTCGATCAGATCCAGGACCTTGAGGAGTTGCGACTCCAAGGTGGCGCCGTTGAATGAGAAGCCGTTGAATCCACCGCCGCCGACAGGTCCCTGGCTGCCGCCGGACGATGAGCCCCAGCTAGGGTTGTCGCCGCCTCCGATTATACGCCTCGCCACGTCTCGCACGTCCTCTATCTTGCCAGTCATCTTGTGGCCGAGCACCGAAAGCGCGGTGCGCATCAGCTGCTGCTCATCGTCATCCACATACTTAAACACGGGCTGCTGCTTATTGGCAGACGTGAATGCCTGCGCCGCTGGCTGGCCATTCTGCTTGAACGTCACCAGCACAGCACCGGATATAGGAGACGGCGGCAGCAAGCAGACCAGCGAGCTCTCGCCCCAGAACGTGGTAGTCGTCGCCTTCTGGTCGCCGAACATGACCTCCAGGCCTTGGAAAAACCCACCACCCAAAATGGTGACTTCGATGCCGCCTGACTTGGGTCCCTCGTTCGGAATGATCTTGTGGATGACCGACAGGGGTGCTCGGGGTTGTGCCATCTGAAGTGGTAGTGAGTAGAGGCCGTTCGCGAGGGCTGCCCGTTCCAGATGTGCCTGTTGCTGTTGCTGTTGCTGTTGCTGTTGTTGCATCGCAGTTACGCTATTCCTGAGGTTGTTCGGGCTAGGGGCACGGCTGGGATGCGCCGAGGCAGGGGCCGAATACAACTGGGTCATTGCCAAGTTGTTGTCCACGCTTGCGGCTCGGGTGCTGCCGTTGGCTGTCCCGAACAGCGCTTGCTCGTTGCTGTTAGGTGTTAGGGGCCCGGGGTTGAAGCCCTGTGGTGCGCCGCCAGGGGTCTGCCCAAACAGCGAGTCCGCTGAAACTGGGAAGGACGTCATGTTCGGCGTGAAGGGGGAAGTAGCTGTGGATAAGGCCGAGTTCAGCTGGCTGGGAGGGCCAGTAGGTTTCGCTGCCGATGGCGACTGCGCCGTCTCGAGCCTGGTCATTGCGAGCCCCGACGGCACCTTGGTCATGCCGCCGCTGGACTTGCGCTTTTTGGCGCTTGGTCCCGAGTGGCCATTTGGTGAGACGGGTCTCGAAAGGTTGCGGGCGGCATGAGAGGCGGAGGCCGAGGAGGCCTGGGCGGCGTTGGGGGGGATCGATGAGGGAAACGTGACCGAGACGGTACGCTTGAGGGTAGGGTCGGACTGGTGCGGGGCGGGGAACGGCCTCGTCCCGGGGCTTAGCGTGGCCGAGTCTGCGGGCGACTGGGCAACAGTTCCCGGCAACAACGATGTCTCGGAGCTCGAAGCGGTCGTGGTAGGCGCCGCGGACGCGGGAGGGCCCGTGTGGGTCTTGTGGTCGTCGGTTATCATGATGGATTCGGACAGCTGCTGGGCAATGATGTTGTCGGCGTGGTCCTTGATGGTGAATATGACGCGGAACCCGCCCTTCTCGCCATGGTGCCGGCAATAACATGCTATACGCATTGGAGCATCAATGACGCCCTCGGTGATGAAATGCCCCGCCTGCGTGCCGTTGGGCGCACCGGCGTTGGCATCCTGCCACTCCTTGACCTCGTGCGTGTTGAACACAACCACACGGCGGCGCTCGTCCCGGGTCCAGTTCTCCTCCTCCTCGGGCTTCTTGGCCTTTTTCCGGGCCGCGCGCTTCCGCTCACGCGTGATGCATCCAGTGCATATATGCACTTCACCCCCTTCTTGCGGCTTCGTCTCATCCTCCTCACCCTCCGGCTTACGGTTAGCCGATCGCGGAGAAATCGCCGCCGCCGCAGCGCGGGCACAGGCGCGTTGATATAGCTCAGCGTTCTGCATGGCGCTGGTGCAGACAAGCATGACGGAAAGTTCCAGGGTATCCGGGGATCTATCCGGGCGGGGCTTGGCGATGAGCTTGGGTTTTGATATCGTATGCCGAGGGAGGTGAAGCCTCTTGATCCCAGGCGGCAACGGTGAGAGCTTCAGCTTGACGGGAATCTGCGTCTCGACACGCGATTTCAGAGGCGTTTGGTTGATTATCAAGCGGCAGGGGGTGGCGCCACTGTAGACCGGCTGGGGGCACAGTGGGAAGCCGGGGAAGCCCATGGGGAGCCCGTGGTTGCCAAACAGTGCCGGAGGATTATGCTGCCCGGGGGTTCCCGGGAGACCGTTAGCAAAAGAGAAACCGCTGGTGAAAAGCGCGCCGTCGCTGGCGATGCCCATGTTGGTGGTGTTCATAAAGTCCATGGTTGGGGACGGCGAGTTATTGAACACGGCCGAGGGCGACGAGCCTTGGCTGAAGACCATGTTGGACGAGGGCGAGACCTCCCTCGATCCATTGGTCTTGAGGCCATTCATGGACCGGGTCAGGGAATATTGCTGTATGCCGAGGTCAGTAATCCATCCATACAGCAGCCGAACCATGTCTCTGAAGCGTCGCCACCCGTCCGCGGGTTGCAGGCGGCGGCCATGTAGCACTTACCGAAATGCCCTTAGCGTGTCCCTTGGCGTGGCTATGCCTCGCGCCTGGCGAAGTCTGCTTCCCATGCTTGGGAGCCTTGGTGGAGGGGCCGGCGCCGACGCCATGGGACTGCCGCGACGGAGGGGGTGGTTCGGAGGGGCCGGTCGCGAAGGGGCTTGGAGTACTCGCGGGGCTGTTAAACTCAAAGGTTGAGTTGAAGGAGGATTCGAGGGCGAATTGGCCGCCGATTGACAGCGGATTTATGGTTCCCTCGGGAGCGAAGGTGTCGTTCAAGTCGTCATCGGTGTGAACGAGGTCCTCGACTTTCCATTCGTGGTTGAGGTCCAGCGCATCTGTCATCATTTCGTCGCCAGCCGCGAAGCCAGTCTTGGTTGACACGGAGCTCGCCGTCTGCTTGGATGAGGACGAGTCGGAGGATGAGTCCGGAAATGTGGAACTGGGCGACTCCGGGGAGCTCGCCGAGTTGGACAAGGGCGGTGGCGGGTTCGGCCCCGGGGTCAGCAGGGCTTTTTGGTTGTCCACTTGCGCGTCATATGCCTGTAGTGCGTCTATATCTTCGCTGTTGATGAATTCTGAGTATGGGATGTGCGATTGGTCCAGTCCGTCGTCGGAGTCGCCTAGATCAAACTCGGCTGTTAAACTTGCGTGGGCAGACATCCCGACCTCGGTGTGTTGTGGCGCTGACGAAGGTTTGGAGGGGAGAATGAGGCGCTGTTACGTCAAACGCGGCATTCCTAGCACCTCGGAAAAAAATACAAGGGGCAATACGCCAAGTATGGAAAGGCAAAAAGGAGGCAGCAAAAAGGCAAAAAGAGGCAGAGCAACCCGATGTGTTCTGCTCGGCGTCTTGTCGTGCAAAAGCAAGGCCTCGAATGGCTGGTCGCGGCTTCGCGTGTTGCGTCGTTGGAGGTCGAGCTGACTAACTGCCGCTCGGTCGACAAGTGCCGCGGCTGTGCGAGTTTGGGCAGTTGAAAGCGACGTTTGGGGCGACAGTTGATAGTGGCCGCGTGACACCGGCGACTTGTGGTAATGGAGCAAGCTAATTCTCGTGAGAGCAGGCGCCGGTCCAGACTAGCATCGTCGACGCGGGTGGGGCCCTAGACACGGCGCAGAAACGCAAAGATGACCACTCGCGGGTCTGGGGACGGCAAATGACAAGACGAAGCTGGCGAGGAAATGGGGGGAATCGGCGGCGTGGTGTGAGCGGTCCGTCGCCGTGGTCAGACAGCCCCGAGCGCTGGTGGGAAAATTGCGATGGGCGTTTCGGGGCGGCAGCCGAGAGCGCAGTGCGTGTGGGACGAGCCGAGACGGCGGGCAGGCCAAACCGCAGCGCAAAGCGAGCTCCGTCGGTCCCTCGATGGCTTGTCGGCTGAGCTATAGCGAGAGGGTTATTCGGTGGCGGGCTGTGGCGAGCCGTACCGTTTCGTAGATGGAGCAACAGCCTGGTGGGTGACGGTTGCCGTGGTCGTCGGGTCGTCGGGTCGTCGCGGGGGTCGTCCGGCCGGGGTAAGGGACAGCGTCGTCGTCGTCGTCGTCGGCTTCGTTGGGGTCTGCCGGCTTCGTGGGTTGTCGCGGACTGGACAGTGGAACAGACTCACACACTCAGCGACGCGGGACGGTGGCGCATGTCGGGTGCGGATGCTGGTAAGAATTATCGTCAGGGTCTGTCGGGGGCTGTGGTGCGTGACCAAATGCCAGGACTGGATTCCCGAGTCGTTGTCGGCGACTGGGATTGACAGGAGGAGCAAAAAGACTGGAGATTTCGGGTGGAGGCGGTGACTGCTTGCTGCGAGAGTTGCTGCGACCGGATTGGCTGGGTGGGGCCCGCCTCTGGTGGTTGGCTGGTGCGTGGTGGCCACCGGGACCAGACACTGGAACTGGACCAGACACCAGCTGGGACCCGACTGGGACCAGAGACTGGCAGCAGGCGTGGTCACGGTGGAGCCCGCGCTGGATTCGTGGACCCTAATACGCAGCAGGAGCCCTGACTTGGCTCAATTTGATCCCACCTCCGCTGCCGGGCCCAGGAACAACAGTCCAGCCAGCCAGGCCGCGAGTTTCGAGCAGGGGCACGCTAAGAGTTTTCTGCTCTGCAGTATCTGGCTGAGGGCACGCCGGGACAGGCGGCCAGCGTCCGGTCTTGGGGAGGGAGGGGCCAGGTGGTGGGCTCTTTTGGCTGCGGGAAAACCCTGTTCGGGCCGTCTACAGTGTGCGTGCGGGCGCGGGTGCGTCGTCTCTTGTTGCCTGCGTGGGAGGGATGGGTGGGAGGATGGATGGATGGATGGATGGATGGATAGATGGATGTCCGATATCGAAGCTGCGAGTTGGGCCTGTCTCTCTGACTGCGTCTACTGGCGGGGTGGCGGGATTGGATGCGTGATGTGCAACCAGGAACCAGGGGGGGCCACCAAAATGGCCTGCCGAGGGCATGCAAAATAATACAGTCAGCCCTGTGCGACAAAAAAGCGCGGGCAGCACAAGTTGTGCAATACACAGGTCAGGAAAGGACAAGCAGGTTGATGATGATGATAAGGGCTGGTCGAGTCTAGACGATAGGCTTGACCGTCTATGTAAACACCCAAGCCAATGTTGCGCCCTCCGTGTTAGAGTTTCCATTGTGCCTGAGCTGGCTCGACTTGAGAAGCACCAGCCCGCTCCCCTCGCTTCCCCTGGGCGGATGGACAGCCGGGGCGGACAAGTGGAACACTGGACGGCACTGGCGACGCAAAACTGCAGCACACAAGACGTGCCCGAACCCGGTCTTTCCGGCGCGGCGCAACCACTTGCAGCATCCTGTGCAGAGTCTGTCGTGTGCGCCCCCATCCCTTGTTTACCTCCTCCACTTTCGCCTCTGCCATGCAGGCTCCGCAGGCTCTGCAGGCTCTGCAGGCCCCCTCGTTGTCTAGCCTCTGTGCCTTCTGCCGGCGTGGATAGAGGGCGTTGATACGGGGGACCGAGAATGTCGTATCATCCATGCCGTCTTCGAACTCTATTCCGTCCAAAACCGCCGCCTCTCACGCACCTTCAAAGGCTAGCCCTCAACGGTTAACCATGCTCGGTGTGACCAGCTTGACCGCCTTGGGCTTGGTGCCTGGTGGCTCTGCGCAACAGCAGCAGCAGCAGCGGCGGCGGCGTGCGCCCAAACTCCACGGTGAGATCCATGACCCGTATCGGTGGGCGTCAGTCGTCAACGAAACCCGCAAACGACAAAGCGCTTGCGTGCTGCAGACCGCATCGACGTCTTGGCAGACCAATCCCCTAGATAAATACATAGCTGGGTTCCCAGCCTTGGCCAGCTGTTCCAGCCGCCCGCACAGCACCCACCGCCCTCGTTCCAGTCTACTAGCAAGCAAGCAAGCAAGCAGGTCCTTCCTTGGCTGATGATGAGCATGCCGGCATGGTCAGCTGCCCCCGGCCCCGTGCATGTGGGATATGGGAAACCAGCCTGGGGATGATGGGGGTGGCCCCCGTCCTCGTTCGCATCCTGAGCCTGGGTGCGGGAGGCTACTGTACGGCAAGGCCAACCAGTATGGGGACAGACATGCAAACAAACAGACCGCCATGACGAGTCCGACACACCTCTTCCACATACAGACCTCGGGCTCCTTTCTAGGCCTCGGCCTGGCCAAGCCGGTTACCTTTGCCCACCCCTTCCCCGATATGACAGCCTGCAAGGTGCATGGATGACATGAAGAGGGGTAGTTGAGGGGTGACGCACCAACAAACCCCAACGCTCGCATCGTCCCCAACGCCTTGCCTCAACGTTTGCTGACCTGCAAGGGGGTGGGCGAGTGGCTGAGGGATGCGTCGCCGAAACGGCCTCGAGGATTAGCCAATCCGGGGATGCTGACGACATGATGCGACAGAAGGCTCTGTGCCCTGGTTTCCCCCCAGCCCTGGTCAGACAAAACGTCCCGCCGTTCAGATCGGAACCGCATCAGGAGAGGTCTGGTAGCGCTCCAAGTGCCCAAGATGCAAGCGGCTGTTTGTTCTGCCGGGTGCCAGAGATTGAATACCTAACCATGGCCGGGGTGGAAATGCAGATAAGAAATTTGCGTGCCACACAGCTAAAAATGACTGATAGGGAGCCAGCTCAGCCAGTTGAGACTAGGAATCACAATCTACAGGTCACAAACCTTAGTACGGTGGATCCTGGTGGTGCATCAGTTTGGCTTGGTTTTCTAAGGGAAAAAAATGTATCTTGCTCCACCGCAATAGTGTTTGTGATCCCTGGAACCTCCATGGACGGCTACATGACGAAACCAACGGTCCGCTTCTCTAGCCCATTTCATTCCTGTCGTCCGTCCTCGCCAGCGTGGGTTCCCGTCCCGCCCCGAGTCTTATCTTCCGTTTCCACCCAGAGAGCCACGTCGAGTTACACTTTTCACTTCGCCCTGCAAACACAGGGTAGAGTACATGGCTAGGTAGGTAAGTAGTAGTAATGCGTCTAGTCCAAGAACCTTCCGGCTTTTATTCGCCCCTCCGCAGGGTGGGCCGGATGTGACCCCTCGAAGCAGGGAATAACAGCAGCAAAACGACGACACTGCACGACAGGTCGCATATCCGAGTCCATCGACAGTCGCGAGCATAGACTTTTTCGGGCCGGATGTGGGCTCCTCGCGAGGGTCCTTCTGCAGATCCGACCTCGGGACCGAGACATGGGACAGACGGCTATAGCAAGACAAGGAAACAAAGCTAGCTTGACAAGACAAACAACGAGCCGCCACGAACTGCGCTTCGTCGGACGGCCCAAGGATGGTTCCTGTGGCCGCCACTACAGAAACCCCGAATGAACGCCTTGGCAGATGGAGCTCTGCGCTGGCACCAGACACTAGCAGCCAGACCACAACTTAGCCTAGAAAAAGAAAGTCCTCCTTGCCGCGATCATTCCCACCTCCATCGCCCCCATACTGTGGATAATCGGACAAGTCTAGGTTTTCAGCTGCAGCTGGAGATGAGAAGAAAGGACAAGAAAAGAAGAAATGAAGCAAGGCTCACACTAGGAAATTGACAACACACACGAGCGCCGTAGATCCTGAATGCGACCTGTCAGAAACGGGATTTTCCGATGCGTAAATGTGATGCGACAACGCGGTCCCTCCGATTTTTCTGGCATCCGGTTCCACCAAACTTCTGACTTTTTGCCTTCCCATGATCCTTTGCTCCGACCATTTCTCTCCGGCCCGGCCTTCTTTTGACCTCGTTTTCTTTTTCTCCTGGGCACACGAATAAATCAAGAACCCTACCCTAATCGCGACCTGAATAATCGATGACGAAGAGAAGACAAGAAGAAAAGTGGCCCCAGCTTCCTGCGTCGTCGCTCCCCCAGATCCGCCGCCCGGCACGATGCACGAACCGCCCACTCCAGATCTTTCTTTTTCTTCATCTCTTTCCCATCCCGACACCGCCGCGTGGCCCCGAGCAGGGGTTGTCTTCTCACATCCCGCCAGGGGGGGTCAAAGCCCAGATGAGAGAGGAGGGCTCGCGTTTTTGAACCACGCGAGAGAGGCTTGGGAGGGGGAGACGGATAGTCTTTTCTAGCGCCGAGGAGTTTGCGGTGTGTTATTTATAGAGATCGGTAGATATGTACCTACGAAGAGAGCAATAAGCGATGGAATAATAGAAGAGGAAGCAGAAAGAATAGTGGGTAATGAAGATTTCTCAAGATGCAACTACATCACATATAGGCCGCGCTCGGTGTGTGTCTGCATTTTGCACGGATCTTCCCAATATCGCTAAGCCTCACCGAGCAGCAAAGAGGCCTCTCACTTGAACACGACTCCTTTCCTACATCTCGGCAAGAAATGTGTGTGAATGGATGATGATTGCTGGACGACGAAATCACTGGGTCGTTGAAACGACGTCTCTGCAAGCGATTCTAGATTTCAACACGCCACTTCCTCCGTGGAGGTGGCAAGGCTGCTACATTGAGGGCTTGTGACAAATGTCAACAAGCTCTAACAAGTGATTACATCACTGACAACAAAAGCAAGGAAGGGGACGAGCCATGTATTATCCCGCATTCACCTTAGACCGCCGCTCTAGTACCATTGAAGAAAGTCATTCCACACCAAACCCATTCATCCGCGCACACAGGCCCCCTTAGTCCGCTGCGGCCTTGGCCAGCGCCTCGAGAATGGCGGGCGGGAACCGGTAACGGAGCTGGCTCGTGTAGGTCGTCAGGTCGGCTGTGATCTGCTTGAGCTCGTCGTAGAGGGCGCGCGCCGTGGACTCGTTGCCCGTAAAGTGCCCGCCCGCCAGCCGCTCGCGCTGCCGCGTGCAGCACTCGGTCGTCCACATGACCAGGTTGGGCACGTTGGCCGCCACGGGCTGCGACAGGCCCGCGAACACGCCCGCGTAGTGTCGGATCACGCTCGGGTCACCGCTGGCGTCGAGCGGGAGGATGTGGATGTTGCGGATTTTCTAGGGGTCCGGTTGTCAGCTTTGTTCTTGGGTGATACAAGGAGTGTCGACTCTTTGAGAGAGGGGGGGAGAAAAAAAACTCACATCCAATGCCTCTGGCCAGCTCTGGGCCCTAATAAGGTCCTTGATCTCGCTCATCTGCAACAAGACGCTGCACGCGTTCCGGTTGCCCTCCTGGATCCGCTGCCGGAACATGGCGTCCTGCTCGTACATGGTGAGCATGGTGCGCGCTAGCTCCACGGGGTCGTCGATGGCGGCCAGGCTCAGGCTGGAGCCGACCTGGGCCTCGGCCTCGGCCCCGGCCACGCGCGGCTTGACGGGCGCCAGGCGCACCGGCTGGTAGTTGCCGCCGCCGAACCGGCCGCCGCCCTCGGCCGCCGAGGCCGACTCGAGCGCGATGGCCTCGCCCAGGCTGCGGCTGACGAGCCCGACGACGGCGTCGTAGTCGCCCGCGAGGTGGTTGAGCAGCACCGCGTCCGTCGTGCGCCCTGACTCCTCGGCCGCCCGCGCTGCCTCGAGCGAGATTGCGCGCAGGAACTCGGCCTCGTCCTCGAGCGCCACCAGCCGGCCGCGCTCCTCGATCATGCCGCGGATCCGCCGCCCGTCGGGCCGGATGTCGCCGATGAGCTTGCTGAATTCGCGCGTCTCCAGCACCAGCGCCCGCAGTGCCTCGTGGCACAGCGCCGCCTGCTGCCGGTCCGCCTCGTTGGTCGGGTTGTCCATGTTGAGGCAGATGAGAACGACGTAGTCGACCGCGGCCGCCACGTTGGCCGCCCTGAAGTCCTGCGTGTACAGTCCCACGAGCGGTGCAAAGTTGATCTGCATGAGGCCCCTTGTGTTGAAGCTCTTCAGCTCGTTGGCCGTAGACATGGCGTCTGCGGGACGCAGGAGACCGTAGTACTCGAGCGCGATGGCAAAGTGTACGGCATCGGTGCGCGAGTAGGCGTACAGGTAAGCGATGGCCGCTTCGTACATGCCAGAGAGGATCTGGAGGAAGAAGAACATGGCGAAGGATCCGCTGCTAACCTCTTCAGCCGAACCCTTAGAGGCGAAGAGCTTGCTGCCGATCTCCTGTATGCTGGACTGCAGCTCGGCGAGCCCGTAGGACTCGCTGGCCAGTTCCGACACACGGTCGCCCTCGCGAGCCAGGTTGAATTGCAGCCAGATCCAGTCCTCGACACCTGTCTTAAGGTTCTCGAAACCACGGTTGGCCAGCTCGCAGCGCCCTATGACCTTGTAGCAGGCCATGCGGTACGGGTCTATGGAGCCCTCGGGCGCGTTGCGTACCCGCTGTTGATACTCGTTGGCGCACCACTCCTGCATTGGCTTCTTGAGCCGTCGATCCTCGCTCGAGGCGTAACTGTTGATGTAGCCAGAGAAGGTCCGGTCGATACTGCGGAACTGGCTCTGGTTGTCGTTGACGAATGTCGCCGCATCCGAAACGTGACCCGTCCGCAAGAGGTAGAAGACGATGGCCCACACGTACTCACCCTGCACCTGCTGCAGCTCGACGTTGTCGGGAGCCAGGTTCTTCTTGGCCGCGAGAACCCGGATATACGCGCGTATCTTGCTGACGATGTCGGGACGTCCGCCGAGGTTAGCTTCGAGTGGCGCTTTGGCAATCGTATTCTCAATCTCCTCGAGCGCCTGCTTCTCGAGGTAGCGGTTCGCGCCGGCCAGTATCCGCTTGCGCAGGTCAACCGCCTCCTGTGATCGGGGTTGTGCGTGGATATAACTCTGCGCAAACTGGCGCTCCTTGGCCGTTGCGCCGGGTGTTTCCGGGTCGGCGTCTGGATCCTCGCCGACGACCTCCACCATTGCCTTGTAGGCCTCGACAAGTTTGGGCGCGTAAACGTCTCCAGACCGGGAGACGACATCGGCGAATTCGTGTAGAATCGGATACGGCTGCTTCATCATGCGGCTGTCGTTGAGAACGTGAATCTTGTGAATGAAGCGCTTCTGCTTCTCGTCCAGGAACCGCTCGTCCATGGGGACCAGGCCGCCGATGGAGCTGCTCTGGGTGACCATCTCGACATCGACGAACTGCGACCCGTGGGGTCCGATGCGGCTGGGGCTGCCGATGACGGATCTCAGGAGACCAGTCCGACCGAAGACGCTCTGCCTGGCGCCGCCACGAGCCGGGGTTCCCGGGGTGCCAGCGCCCCCGGCGTTCCTCGACCTCTTGGACCGACCGAAGCCGCCCGTGGCATCCCTGCTGGCGGCCCCGGCGGTCGACTGACCGAGCCTCTGGTTGTCCTCCCTAGGTTTGATGCCAAAGTGCTCGTATATGCGCTTCCGCTGCTCCTCCCACTCCATGGTGACGTTCTCCTCGAGGAAGCTGTCAAAGTCGCGGACGGACCGCTCGAGGCCGTCGGCGATCATGCTGAGAGTTGTCCTGGACTGCAGGTTCGATAGGTACGCATCGACGTCGACCTCGCCACCACCAACCCCGGTCCCAGCAGGCGTTCTGCCGCCATCTGCCCTGCCGCCAGCTCGCGCCGCAAAGGCCCCAAGGTCTTTCACAGCAGTGCCCGGGTCGACGCCGGACCCGGCGAGGAGGTAATGCGCCCTTCCGTCGAGGGGAGCGCCGCGGGGGGCGATCTTTCGCACGCGCTGGTGGAGGTCGCTCAGGCCCAACTGGAGGCTGGGGAGTTCGCCGATTCCGTCGGCGCCGTCGGTCTGCTTCTTTGTCTTGGCCAGGATCGAGTCGAACAGAGCGGCGCTGGGCGCGTTGTTGATGCTCGAATTGTTGTTGTTGACGCTAAGCCCAAGGCCGCCTTGCTGTACCTGTGCCTGGGCGACCTTCATTGCATGGATACCCGATAGAGTTGGCATACCAAGACTTGAGGCCGCGCCGCCGCTGGCGAGGAAGGCTGCTTGTTGGGCCCGCTCTTGTGGTGTTGGGCCGGACACGGTGGGTTTCCCCAAGGCGGGAAAAAGGGACCCTCCCAAGGGGGCGGCGCCCGGCTGTGCTTGGGGGGGCTGGCCGAAGATGGAGCCGGCGGGCGTTGTAGACAGCCCGCCGGCTGTCGACGCGCCGCCGCCGAAGAGGCCACCGCCGGGTTTCGAGGCCCCAAACAGAGAGCTCATCGTGGGTACGTCGACGAGGTCGGAGCGGTATCGGTCGGTATTGTGGGCTTCTGGGGCGGTAGCGAGTGGTATGACGCGCGAAAAACGCGTGTAATCGGTGTCTCGTTCAGGCGGCGGACAGCATACTGATCTCGACGTCGTTGCCTCGCGATGGAAAAGTTGATGGGAAGCTCGAAATCTGGAGCTGGTCGGTGCGCGTGGGTCAAGCAAGTGAGCATCCAGCAATTGGCGGTGACCCACACGGCGGCGCTTTCGTGCACTGTATGGAATGCACCACAGCCAACCTTTGAAGACAGTGCAATGTCTACTGTGTATGCTCACGCACCTTCTAGGCTGCAGCTCAGCCGTCTACAAACATCACCAATCCTCCAGGTGTCAAACGCCGCAATGCGCATGGGGGTCTCAGAAGGCTTCGTCGTGAGCGAGTATTTTTTTTTGTCGTTTTGTATTACAATATTATGACACTCTATGAGAAAACCAAGCCATAACGCCGTCCGTCTATCACCTAACCGATTTGTGTCCATCCAGATTTCTCCTTGCGCTGGGCGCATCACTAATCATGTCGCTGCGAAACGCAGTCTTCGGCCGCCAGGATCACGCCTTGACGGCCTCGTCCACCACCCTCCTGTACTCCTGCTGGGAGCGGCACTGCTCCAGGAAGACCTTGTACTTGGCATCCAGCAACCTCCGCTGTCCGGCGTCCGTGCTGGGCTTGACCGGGCGGCCTGGCTTGCTCATGCGGTCCATGATGGACCAGAGATCCTCGGTGGCGCCGTCAGCCAGGCCGTCCTTGCCGGCGCTGGCCGCCTTGGCGCCCAGCATGGCGGCGCCGTGCACGACGGCGGCATTGACGTAGCGCGGCACCAGCACCGGCATGTCACAGGCGGTGGCGATCAGGTCCATTAGCACGTCGTTCTGGCACTGGCTGCCGCTCATGAAGATGCTTGAGATGGTGTGGCCCGCGCCGTTCATGGCCTCGACGATCTGCCGCGTCTGCAGCGCGATGAACTCCATGGTGGCGTAGTACAGCAGCGCGAGCCCGTCGAGCGTCTTGTCGCTGCTCATGCCCACGTAGGCGCCCCGCATGTTGGGGTCCGCCACGGGCGACCGGTTGCCCCAGAGGTCGCCGTAGAAGAAGTGGTGCCGCGCCACGTACGAGACGGACGGCGCGGAGCTCTTGTCGGCGAGCTGCCGCAGGTGCTCGTTGAGGAAGTCGTAGATGTTCTTCCCCACGGCGGCCGCTTCGCCCTGGGCCTCGGCGCAGGCGGCGTGCGTCTCAATCATGTGCCGCATCAGCTCGCCCGTCGCCGACTGGCCGCCCTCGGCCATCCAGTAGCCCGGCACGAGCACATCGCGGTAGGGGCCCCAGACGCCATCGACAAACACGGCGTCCTTGGACATGGCCAGGTGACACGTCGAGGTGCCCGCCACGGCCGCCAGGCGAGTAAAGGCTTGCGCGACGTCATTGGGTGGCACCGTCTCGTCGAGCTCGTCGGGCGTCAACTTAACCTTAGCGCCGACCGTCCCAATCCAGCCTGCGTAAGCGTCAATGACACCACTGCCGACGGCGACGCCTGCCGGAAGCCCTAGCTCCGCGGCTGCCTTTTCGCTGAGCCCACCGACGAGCTCGCCGGCGCTGAGCCACTTTCCGTTCTGGGACACAGAATGAGGTTAGCATGTTGTCTCGCAGCAAATGTGTTTCCTTCCTGTGTTTTCACTCTTTAGTTCTGAACTGTTATGAAATAGGCTCACCACCCCGTTGACTCCACCCATGCGCTTGAAGTTGTCGTCAACAAGCTCACTAAGGCCGACTTTGTGATAGAAGTCCTCCTGCCAGCCCTTGACGCTGCCGTCGACGCCGACGGGGACGTAGCCCTGCTTGCAGACCGTGCTGCAAAAGCTTCTCGTCTCGCTCCCGGTAGCCATGTGGGTCAGTGCGTCGGCGAGGTCGTAGAACTTGCAGCGGTCAAAAAGCTCCTTGGGCATGTTGTTTTTGAGCCAGAGGATCTTGGGGATCTCCATCTCGACGCTCATCCTGCCGCCGACGTAGCGCAGCAGATTGTGGCGGGTCGCATTAATCTCCTCGGTCTCGGCAAGGGGACGATGGTCCAGCCAAAGGATGACGTTACGGTCGTTTCCATCGTTGGCAAAGTCGGGCCCGGTCACGGGCACGGGCTCATCGGTGTCGTGACTGAAGACTGCCAAAGAGCATGTAGCGTCGAAGCCAATGCCTCTGATGGTGGACGTGTCGACCAATGTCTCGGTCACGACGCGCTTGACACAGTTGCAGATGGCCTTCCATATGTCTGTCGTTGATTGTTCCTAGTCGCGACAGCGAGTTGTCAGCAACCCAAGCAGTTGAAGCCTGCAGAGACGTGCACAAGTCGTACATAGTGGGATCCCTCGAGACCCGACAAGGGCTGCCAGAGCTGGATGTTCTCGCTCGCAAGCGACTTGATATCTCCCGAGTCATCGATGAGACAGGCTCGAGCTGAGCCGGTTCCTACATCGACGCCAATGTAGTGCTCCTAAAACGCTGTCAGCGAAGTCGCGGCATTGACGTGAACGGTGAAGGTCCAACTTACTCGAACGACGTGAGAGCTAAGAAGCACACGACGATGAAGCTACCGGTCAGCCGTTGAAGTTATATAATAGGCAGTTTGGCGCATGGCTGTGTATCGGCCATAACCTGGATCCCCCAAAGTCAAACTCACTCAATTGTGTTCATGGTTTCCGATGTTGCTCCTCGAGAGGATCCAAAAGGTCTAGTTTATGGTGAAATCCAACGCAATGGAAGCTTCCTGCAAACGACAGCTTGTCTTTGCTGAAAGTCGACTGAGGTGGAAGGACGGGAGGTGATGTTTGGAGAGAACAGGATGAAGCCGAAGTGGGAGAAAGCTGGGTCTGGTTGCGGTTTTGTTCCGAGCCTGATGTCAGGATCTGCCAATCCAGAGAGCTGTCAGGCCAATGGCAAAGAGAAAAGTCGTACAACCCAAGCGCGGGATGGGGAGGAGTGTCCTAATTGGGGAAGCCGAAGTGCGGATGGCAAAGTCCAGATGGCCATGGCATGCCCTGGCGGTGGCGGCAGCTCCGGTGCGGGGCCGAGCTCAATCAGCGTGCAGCAGCTTTCCCTGGAGCACAGCTTGATTGACGCGATGCTCAGTCCCGTCCCAGCTTGGAGCTCCCCAACTCCCGTTCCGCCGAGCGGGGAAGTTGAGCTTTCCACGCCCGCAAGATGAGCGAGGTCTACGCGGCGAAAGAACAACTCGGCACCTCAGCACCCCTGAGAGATCTTGCGGTCTACGGTCTACGGTCTACGGCCGCGCATCCTAGATAACATCCTAGATTACTGCTTGCGATAGACACCGCGGCACCGCCACGCCCGCCCGGGTCCACCATTTTCTGCAACTCCGCCCCGCAAAACGTAGCACGGCGCTGCACCGATCGCGGGCAAGCAGGGCCTCGACCTTGCCATACGAGGTCGCGACCGTCGCCGATCGGCTCGGCATTGCCTTGCGTAACACTCCGCAGCCCCCGCCTGGCACGCGGCCTACGATTTTTTCTTGATTGGTTCCGTGGTTGCTCGCCTTCCTCCCGAGTCTGCATGTCTCGGCACACAGATCCGTCATCTGTTATCGGTGGCGACGGCCATGGCCGTGTTGCCACACATGCCGCGTGAATCGCATGCGACCTGCAGTGTCGGAAGTAAAAGCGAGTCGCGAGTACGTTGATCAGGAACTACCCTTTCAGCCGCCAGAGACGAGACGGAGCCAGCCATTTACCCAGGGCATCCCTTGAGACTGGGCTGGGTGGTAGTATGCAGTGCCTATTTACAAGTACTGCCATGTACGTCTTATTTCTCTTCTTATTTTTACGCCTGCTGTTATCCCCGGGAGCTCTTATTCCTGCTGTTTTTTTTTGCTCTTATTCTTATCCCGATTTTTATTCCATCCTATTCTCATCGGCTAACATAACAAGTTTGTAATGGACGGTCAGCACGTTGGCGGCGTTGAAAAGAATGCCGGGGATGCCAGCCATTGGGTAATTTATTTGTGAAGAAAGCGGGATATATGCTTGGTGGTGTTTCGTTAACGCATTTGACGAAGGCGCAAAGAATCAGGTTGACAAGCAGCAACGGGAGATAAAAACAGTCTATATTGGAGGGCAGATTGTATATGGAGGACTCGAAGGGGAACTAATTGCTCGGCACCATTCCTTGCAATCGGGCAAGAGTTCGCGGGGAGAGAAAACGAGAGCCAGACGGAAGTTCATGCTTACTTGAATGAGCCAAGGTTGATCTCCCATCATCTTCCATATTGGTAACCCAAGTGTCGGCGAGGACGGGACGAGTCAAATGCCAAGCTGAAGACATCAGAAGAGATGGATATTTTGGTTCGTGACTTTGTCCTAGCGAATGAGTTTATATTTAACTAGGTAAGCGGTTCTCCAAGGATCTCTGGCCAAGACTTTGCAGAGGTGGCTGAGACGGCATTCGTGCTTGAGATAAAAATGTGTATGGGAATGGTGATGCGTTCCTGGTGTTGACTGTGCGTTTGCTAGCCTGAGTCGTGTGGGCTGTTGCGGCTACAGCTGGTGCCTGCATTTGCAGCCCGATGAGGCACTGAAAATTGATGCCTGCTCAGCGTCCCACGCCCCTCCAAACCACAACAGCTTGGCTGCAGCAAATTGATGAACCCCACGTTCTGACCTTGAGACTCTTCGCTGCTCGCCGTCACATCCTGCACCATTTTCCACTTTCCCATCACGCCCGTCAAGTCACTCGAAACGGCTAAAGCGGCAATTTTTGACAGCTGAACAACCGAAAGGAGGCCAGAGGGAGCATAGCCCCGCAGTTCGCCATGGCCGATGCAGAGATTGACCTCAGCAACGGCGACGTCTGGGACGACTCAGCCCTGATCGACTCGTGGAACCAGGCGCTCGACGAATACAAGGTGAGGAACAAGAGGTGGAAGTGAAAGCTCACCAGCTCCCATTCACATTCACCTTCAACCACGCGTCGTCACCACTCCCGCATCCGCGCCTCGATATTCTCGCTGACGCGTTCACCTCCAACGTCGCAGAAATACCACAGCATCTACGCCGGCAAGAGTAAGGGCTTGCAGCCATCATCGCCGTCGCATCAGCCTCCAGCTGCTTCCACAGCTTCCGCCCCAGGACCTGAGGCAGCCGACGTTCCAGAATCCCAAAAGTCAGCCCATTTCCCACTCTTGTGCCCACTTGGGCAATTTAAGCATCTTTTAAGCGTGGAACAGGATCCCCATTCTAACACCCACGGGGGGAGGGGCGTGTGTGCGTGGTTTGGGTGTGTGGGTGAGTGAGAGAGTGCAACGAGGGAGAGCGTGCGTGTCCCCAAAACACACGCCGCCACTCTGCCACACCACACAACCACACCCGCCCAAGCCACCCGCCCGTTCACAGGAAACCCTCCGAAAACAGACTGGATGCCAAGACTGAAACAAACAAGGTCCCACCGGTTCCGGGCACTCGCGAAACATCGGCCGGCAAGGTAAGACCTCCTACTCCCGTGGCACGCGCCCGCAGCGAACCAACCACCATGCCGTCGTCATCGCCACGCTTTGCCGTTTGCCGTCTCCGTCCCATCTTTTGCAATCCCCTTTGATACGCCCTGACTTTCTTTTGTCCTTCCGGCTGCTTGTGTCTTGCCACCCCGGGCGTTGTCACGAAAATCCCGGAAGATCCAAAGGCTTGGCTTTTCGGCTACGGACGGGATGGGCACCTACCTTTCCACGTGTTTCCCTCTTTTCGGGATGTGTGAACGCCATCAGGGCAGGTAGACCTTGAGACGATTTGCGAGAAGGTGATGGCTAACGGTAATGTCATCCCCCGTAGGAAACCACCGGTAGTGTTGCAGACCCCAACGGTGTTGCCAACGCCAGGATAGCTCCGCCGCCCGAAGCCCTTATTGGTTCTGGTGAGTTCCGGACCCAGTGTCTTGTTTCTTCACGCCTGCACAGCCACCGGCCCCCTTCATCACGGAAAACTGGCGGCATCAGTATTGGCATTTGCTTGGCTTCTTGCTTTATCCCTTACCGCCAACAGGATTCTTCTCCCTCGACCAGGCTGTGACTTGGAAGCCTCCTTCCACTCATCCCGCTTCCTCGGTCAGGGGTGCTGGTGTGTGTGTGGGCGGCTTACGCAAATCGATCGGATGGAGACGGATCCCTTGCTCTTGTCAGGGGCCAACCCGTTTGGCTAATGAGAAATCCCTGTGGGAACGACAGTCCAAGATGAGGGCCTCAAACCCATGTTGATGGCTTGGTATTACGCTGGCTACTACACCGGCCTTTACGAGGGACAGCAAAAGGCACCGGCTCAACAGGAGCAGTGACAGAGAAACAGTCTGTCGAGGGACCGTGAAGGTCGTTCTATTAGAGAGAAGCATCTCGCTTCCGGGCCAAGAGCGGTCCCCACAGGTGAGGGCATCAGCTATTTTCTTGGCTGTTTCTTTGTGATTGTGGAAAGTAGGGCACGGTGCAAGTACCATTAAAACCAGGAAGGTAGTCAAGAACAAATGTCACAAATCGACCGAAATAAAGAAAAGGATAGACTAGCCAAGCTTCGGGGCCGTGTCAGTGGGCAGCAGCGCCTGCTTGGTAGCCAAGCTGTTGGCCGTGGCTTGTCCTCTGTAGGATTTCTGGGCTGCAACATGATCGACACTCCAAGCGAGCAAGTCTGCAGCGGCATGCGTTTCCAACGCCGGCCCGGCTTCTCTTGTCCCCTGGCCAGCGGCACGGCATTTCTGCCAATTGAGCGTTTGCAGTTCAGACGGAAGATCAGATTACCATGCTGCAAAAGGAGGCCTCTTTGGGGGCATGTGTGAACAGGAGAAGGAGGAAAACAAGAGTAAGAGATAGGCAGGCCAAACAAATCCAACAACACGCCCCCGCAAGGGTGAGAGTTATCTCCGGACCTGCCGGCCGCTGTCCCCCTTTCGATCTCCATCGCCATCAAAATGATCAACTCTATCAATCCGGAATCTCGGTATCCCCACTGCCCGCCATGGCAGGTCGCAGGGAAATAGCCGAGCAACCGAGGCGAACCAAAGGGCTGAAGGCAGGGCAAAGTTTTGGTATTTCTTTTTTTCTTTCCCGCCGAGCTTGTTATTGTGGAATGGCCGTTTATGTCCATCTACTCGTTTCTCGGTTGTTTCTCCTCGCTTTCTGGGATTATATAGAGTGTCAACATGTCGGGCATCGAGGTTCCCGCGCCTGTCCATGCTGGCGTTGCGAGAGACGGTTCGGCACAGGCCTAGTCCTGCCGATTTCGCTCCGCACCCACGCATCCATGATGATGCTTTTCCCGATCGCCGGGGGGATCTAGCCAAGGGAGGTCGTCACCGATGGCCTAGGGCGAGATTGCGGCTCCAGCGCGCGCACACGCTCTCACACGTTATCGCTTGCCAGGCGGGCTAGACCGAGGATTGCATCTCCCATCTTTTGACTTTCTTTCTCTATGCAAGCGCACACACACTCACACAAACAACAACACACGCCGTAATGCAATCTTAAAAATTCAGACGCTGCCTGTTCTGGTCACCGCCTTGCATATCGCGTAAACGCGCCTCCCCATTTTGTTTCCTAGGGGGCCCGGCCTTGGTTCTCCCAAGCTTGGCGATGCCCCGTATTGACAGTGCTCAATTGCTTTCTAACTGACCGATTCCGCCTCGACGAGCTGGGCACTGGGCCCCATGAGCGCGCGTGGCACCAAACACCTCCATTCCCACCGACAAACGTCGGGCCGAAACGTGGGTGACATCACCGTCCCCTGTCCCAGTCGTGGTCCTTGCCTGCGTACCCTGTCCACCAATCGTGTCGATCTGCATTTTTATTCATTCTATGGTTTTTTTTTTTTTCGGGCCCAAGGTGTGCTTGATACCTGCTCACCCTGTCGCAACAGAGAAAACGGCAGCTCGGCCGGCAGGGAGGTGGAAGGGCTGCGAAATGGGGGAGAGGGAGGCTGGCGTTGTGCGCCACCAATCAAGGGCCAGCAGCCCTCTGCGGCTCTGAACCTGGAACGGCACCCCGCCCGGCAGGGGCACTGGGCTCGCTTCGAAGCGTCAGGGGTGGCCCCAACTTTAATTTGAGATCTCCAGTTTGGATGGGACAGGAATTTCCCGCCAAGGTCAAAGCGAGCGGTGGCAACAAAGCAGTAGGCAATATTTGCATTTCTGTTGCGAGCCTGTTCGATTGAGTTGGTGACGGGGTCTTTGATGATCTGAAGACCGTTGGATCATGCCCACTGCCAGTTTCGTGGGCGACTGGCGCCGTGACCCAAGCCTCGTAGTTGGAGCCTCACTGTCAAAATAGTGCTAAATGCGAGACGAATCACTAGCAGATTTGTGTCGTTTGGTTCTCTAGCGCTGCAGACCTCAACCGAGGGCGACGTCAACCGTCAATGGTAGCGGCTACTTCTGCGGCCTGAGCGCCAAAACCGGGGTTCCGCTATTCCATTTCGGGCCCAGTGCCAAACACGCGAGCGACAATCCGAGACGAATCTGCCACAACCCCTAACCTCCGCTGCCGCCCCACCCAACCACGCACCAGGAAGAGCCGCTGCGATCCCCCTCCCCTTGGGTCTGCTTCTGCTGCCCTTTTCCAGCACATCCGTTGCCTAGGCTCCCCCGGCTCTGCCTAGGGAGGGTGTGCTGCTAGCAACCATCTGCGAGGCAAGAGGATGCAGGAACAAAAGAAGAAGCAAGATGGGACCGTGCTTGGCGGCGGCCGTGGGTTGCCACAGCTCCTGGGCCCTCAGCCCCAGAGCCCACCCGCTCCGTCTCACTGGAATCTCGGACGCTGCCAGCGCCGGCGAGGAGCCCTGCCACAGACAGAGTAGTGCTCGTACCTGGGCGCGCGTTTCCACCCGCGCGCGGCACCCTGCCCAGCCCGAACTAGGGCTGCTCCCCCCGTTTCGAAATATTCAGCACCCAGCCCAGAGAGGGAGAGAGAGGGAGGCACCCACCGAGAAGGCGGCCTAAAGTGAACGGTCCCCTGCTGCCTACCTACGGGATAGGCGACCCCGACTCGGCAGCGGGTGGGGGCAGGCCAGGCAAAGGCGAGCCGTCCTCTTTCCGTTTTCCCACCCTTGCCTCTGCTCTCACATCCCCTGCTCGGATGGAGAAGGGAGCGAGTTTTGGGATCTTCATGCACACTCGATTTAAGTCACTCCCATGCCCGGCCGACCTGCCTTTCGTCCGTCCTCTTTTCCCTCCTCCTCCCCCATCTCTTCCAAGCTGTAGTTGTTGTTGCTACCCGGACACTCATTCGGTTTAGTATCCTTCTCGCCGTCCTTCATTTATAATTTCGATTCTCCACGAGCAGGCACTCGCCATCCAGATACGATATCCCGCCGCAAACCCACGAGCCCTACTGTTTACAGTTTTTGGAAGAAGCATCACCAATAAAAAGGAGGCAGGACACTCTCGAAATCGGCTCGATCGTCGATTTCATAATCCTCCGGACAAAAAAAAAACAGAACCGAAGAAACACATACAGCCAAGATGAAGTTCTCTTCAGCATTCGCTCTGGGCTTTGCCACCCAGGTCCTGGCCAAGGCCGCCCACAACGTCTACCCGGTCAAGGCCCGTGAGGTCAAGCGTGACGGACATCTCAAGTCCCAGATGATTCCCATGGCCGAGCTGCCCAACGGCGCTGCTGAGCTTATCAAGCTCGGCATGTCTGGTGCCGGTCTCACGGCCGGTGGTGCCACCAAGACCGATGTCATCATCATCTGGGTCAACGGCGGTGGCGGTGTCGCGACCACCAGGATCAACGAGCAGTCGACTGTCACCGTGACCAAAACGGTCGGAGGAGGTGGTGGTGGTGGTACGGCGCCGCCGCCTGCTGCCACCCCGCCTGCGCCTCCCACTGAGGGCGGTGCCGTCGCGCCGCCGCCGCCGGCCGCCGCACCCCCCGGTGCCCAAGCTACTCACCAGGTTACCGTCGGTGGCCCCAAGGGTCTGTCTTTCGAGCCCCAGGAGCTCAAGGCCGCCATCGGCGACATGGTTGTCTTCACCTTCCTGAGCCAGAACCACACCGCTACCCAGTCTGCCTTCGACACCCCTTGCGACCCCCTTGCTGGTGGCATGGACTCTGGCTTCCAGACCAACGCCAACAACACCATGAACCCGCCTCCCCAGGTTGCGATGCAGGTCATGGTTGAGACCCCGCTTTGGTTCTTCTGCCGCCAGGGCAACCACTGCGGTAACGGCATGGTCTTCTCCATCAACCCCACCGCCGCCAAGACCCACGCCAACTTCCAGTCTCTGGCCATCAAGCAGAAGGGCAAGGGCAAGAACACTGCCATCACCGGCGGCGCTGCTGCTCCCGGTGCTGGTGCCGCCGCTCCCCCGCCCGCCGCTGCTCCCGCCGCCGGCGCTGGCTCCGCACTTCCTCCCGCGCCCGCCGCCGGTGCTGTCGCCGGCAGCGGTCCTCAGCGCGGCGCCGGCCAGACGCTCCCTGACGGCTCGTGCCAGTGCACCGTCATCTGCGGTGCCGGTTCCTTCCCTGCCGTCGCCGCCCAAGGCCTGGGCGCTTTCGGTGGCATGCCTGGTTAGTGCTCTCTCCTCCCCATCCTCCAGTAGCGATCCCTTCCCTGGCTCGACAACGGAAGGAATCCACAGGCGAAGGCTTTACACAAGCGGCTGGTGCTAACTCTACCACCCCTCGTTGAAAACTAGGCTCCGTACCTGCTGCCATGATGGGTATTTAAGACCAATACGGCTTTTACAACTCCTTTTGTATTGATGAATGACCACATTTATGGCACGCGGGGTCTCGGAGGGCGAGTTTATACCTTGTTTATCTTGAATGTTGTACTAGACTCACCATACCATAACGCCTTTTTTTCTTCGCTTCCCTTGGGGCTCCAAGAGAACCAAAAATACCCTTTTGGCTAGATGTTTTTTTTTTTTCTGTTTTCATTTCCTCCCTTCTTCTTCCGCAAACCACACTCTTCTTTTGGGTAATGGGGCGAGGAACTCCTAAACACACCCGAAGGGTTCGTATCCCTGGATGACCTTAATAAATGAATACTTTCTTTGTGTTAAAACCAAAAAATAAAAACATAAAAAAGAGATGTTGGCTGGTTTCAACTAAACAGCTGTTCTTTTCCCCCTTGCTATAGCAGGCGTGGAACCCAATATGTGCTGTTTTAAATAGGCGTCCTTTGTCGGGGTGGTTTTGGCCATTACTCGAGCTGCGGATCCAATCGGGTACTGGGGGGCAGCCGCCAGCAAGCAGCCAAAGGTTTTGCATCTCGATGGGTTGCAGTGGCGGTGGCGGCGGAGCGTTGCCTGGCTCCCAAGGCTCTATTCTTGTCCGTCGCAACTCGGGGGTGATGTGATGGATGGTTGCGTCGGGGCCACGTGACCTGGCCAATGTCACGGAACCGCCACCACCCCTGACGTGACGGGATCAGCCTTGTTTGCGCTGTTGGTTGCCATCGTCGTCGCTTGTGACGCATGTGATTGCGCGTGCATGCGAATCGGCAAGGTAGGTTGTCAGGTATCTGCCGGGGGACACTGCATACCGGGAGGCTCGCGATTGTTACCTGGCGCCCATGTTGGGTCATCGCAGTTTCTTTGTGCTTGCCCGTATCCTCGCAGGACGATGAAAGGATGTGTATGCGGCATGCGGGCATTCTTTGGGAATGGAACCAGTACACTTCTTTTGTCGAGATATACACGATGTGTCATTGCCACTCTAGGCTCCAATCACGTCCAAACACAACGCAAAAAAGCGACGTCAAAATCAAGAAACCCATGTTTGAAAAAGTTCATGGGGGTTAACTCCTTGTTAGCGCCATTGGGATAGAGGGGGGCCAATAGATGCATGATGAACACAAAGCTAGTTGAAATAATACGCGACGCTCCCTTCCCCCCAAACACCCCCTCTCTTCACCTATTCACTCCCAAAATCCCCAGATAATTCAAAAACACATTGTGTATGCAGCCTTGCAGTGCAAGTCGGGTCGTCGTATCGTTAAATCGCAAACGCGGCCGCGGATGAAGGGCGAGTCGCCATCGGTATCGTTGTCGGGCTGGGCGACGCCGGCCTATTTGGCCGTCTCCTTCTTCTTGGCGTCGGCTGTTTTGAAGGAGAGGACAAGTTAGCGATCATGAGGAAGAGCACCAGGAGAGATTAGAAGCCAAGGGGATCTTCATGTCCCAACGCACCAGCAACCTGCTTCAGGCGCATCATCTCGGCGACCTTCTCCTTGTCGCGGGCCATCTCGCTGCCGCTCTTGCCGTTGCCCGCCTTCTGTACAGAGGGGGGAGCCCAAGGGTGGGCGACAGTTAGTGATGCTGCATTGAGGTGGTCATGGATGACACCCAAGGGGCGTCGTCGAGGTGCTCCGTGGCTGGCAAAGGGCGTCCAAGCCGTCACCCTGAGCGCGAACCACGGCTTCCGAGACTTGTGGATCCGCTGCAGGACAAAGGACGCGACGCCCAGAAGCGCTTCCGGGCCGACAGTGGGGAGAGTTGGCGACGAGAGGCGCCCACAGGATCTGGGGGCCCGACTGATTACGTACCTTCTTGGCCTGCTCCTTGAGGTTCTTCTCCCGAGCCTTGTCCCTCTGGTTTCCCCTGGCCATAATGTCGGTCTGTTTGATTACTGGGTTTAAGTGGAGAGTGGCAGCGAATAAAACAAGGAAAAGGAAAAGAACAACAAGCCGGGAAAGAACAAAAAAAAAACAGGACCCAAAAAAAGGACCGGGCGCTTGTCGGATGTTCGTAGTGAGTGACGGGCGGTTGCGAAGATTGAGGGGGGCGTGGGAGGACAAGTGAGAGGAAAGGCAGAGAAGGCCCCGTCTCGAATTTAATGGTTGGCTGAGAATAGGCGGCCTCTCGGCAAGGTCAGGTGGGAATCGTTGATTGGGATGTGGCTGTGCCTGAGAAATTCCACGCGGTTCTGGACCAAACCCACCCCCCACCGCGGCTGCGCTGACGGGATCGATCGCGCGTTTAAAATCATTAGTGGGTCCACTGCTCAGCCGTACTGCCGCTGCCGCTGCCGCGCGCGAAATTCGATAAGCGCGCGCGGTTAAGGTGGAATGTCGCACGCGTACAGCCTTCTCCGTCTTGGCCGGTCTGTTTTCTTCACCTTGGCGATCTGAGGTCGCCATGACCGTTGTTGGTGACCATTGCTTTTCTGTCTCATCGGCTCTCGGCGGGCTAGGAAGCCGGGTTGAGGGGTAGAACAAACGCACGAAAAGAAAATAACTTGGGGGGAAAAAAGTAACATTTCCAACCCCTAACTTCCCTCTCGTGCACGTTTCTAAAGGCAGCTCGATACAACTGTAGTCACTCTACCCGGCCCGCGTTGATGTCTCGGGGCTAGGACATCTGACAAATTTGCAAGTGCGTTTGGCGGGTGACGGTCGTTTTGAAGGTCGTGACATGACACTACCAAGAATCCTGGAAGGAGCGTGGACGCTTTTGGCCGAGATTTGATGGCAAAGTGAGGTGAAAGCAGACAACCGCGGAGTCAAATTAACTCGACAACTACAGCACCACAGCACCACAGAATACACTCATGTCAGTCGTAGCCAATCCCTTGAGCTTTTCCGTCCGAGAAACCGCCATGTCAACTTCATTTGAACAGCAGCTCATCCCATCCAGTCAAGCAGACACGGGGTCGATTTGGCACTGACACCCAAGCCAGGTCCGCCTCGAAGCGCGGGACGGGCCCCGGCACCCAGTGGTTTTAGCGGGGCACGGGCCCTGTGAGCCAGTGGCTTCCCAGCGCAAAGGCGGGGGCTAAATCCGCCTGAAACGGCCTCTGGGAAAGCACCATCCAATCGAAGGCGCGTGGGCAGCAATGTTCGAAATTCATGGCATTGTTCCTCACTCTTTTCCCTCCCCACGTTCGCGCACAAATGACTTGCTCAGGGATTTCATTGACGAAGCTGGCGATCACCAGGGGCCCCCCAACCCCGCTTGCCCGCTGCCGACCCTTGCTTATGCGCTGGACGTTGCAGCCCTTGGGCCTCGTCGACTGGCCCTGGGACGACCACACTCCATGCGGGCTCTTGCTTCTTGGGCGGTGGTACGGCCTGCGCTTCCGGTGTCAAAGGCGTCTCGACGCCAGACCTCTGGTGCCTGATGGCGCGCCGTGGCTGCTACCCTCCGGCTGCTGGCTGCGGGTACCTGCTTGCCTCGCGCGTGTGCTCCTGTCCCGAACCCTGTCCTCCCCCTCCTCCTCCCTCCCCCTACTCTCTCGCGGGAACACGGGCGCCAACCAGCAGGATGGGGATTTTTGTTCCTGGCAAAAGGTTTTTTTTTTTTTTCATTCTCTGGGGCCACGCCGGCCGCCGGCTCTGCCGTTTCATCTTCCAAGCCCTGGCCTTGCTCGCGGACAGGTAGCGCTCCCCAAGCGCGAATGGGCGGGAGAGGGGTGCGCAGGCCAGTCGATTGGCTCCCAGTGCCCTTTGTGGCCCTGGACGACGAAAGCTGGCCGCACCACGCGCGAATACCTGGCCGGGCAGCAAGAGAGATCGACGTTGCTCCATTCTTCCCTCCAGGGGGGACACCAAGCGTTTTGGTGGGGAAGCGAAATCTCGGCCCATGCTTCTTGGTAGGGCTCGCGGCTGTTTGTTTCTATTCAGGGATGTTTCAATGCGGCTCGCCACACGTTCGCCCGCAAGAGCCCCAATCCCTCAATAGGACCATGTGTAGTATTGTAGCCGCCTCCTCCCCATTGATAAGGCGGCCCCTTCCCGTGCTTTTGTTGCCCGCTCTATTTCCTCTATTCTAGCCCCATTAAAGCCATCAACAATAATAAGACGATCCCTTTGTTCCTTTGAATCATTTCCTTTGTTCCAGTCTACCCCACTCATAGACGACGTAAAGAAACGTGCTTCTTTCGAGCCTGGCGCCACCACGAACTGCTACATATATTTCTTTCTCTCTTCATTATCCCTCGACCTCTTTCATTCCGCCCTCTCCAAGCCAACATCCGCTCTTCATATTCATCAAAGCTACCGCCGGCGGTTTAGTCAACCTTTTCGCAAATCGGTAAGTTTGCCTGGGGATCAGGTCGAGTGTGTGGCGAAAGGTTGGCAATGTCTAATGATATGGAAATGCAGTTACTCCCTTCCCGGGCCAGGGACACCAGCAGTGACCCGTCGACTCCACCCCCGATACCAGAGCGATCATCATTGCGCCAGCCGAGACCTTCTCGCTTCATCGAGCACTTTGACGACGAGCCTGGCTCCCCGGTACCGGAGTGCCCAACACGCCCTGCTCCCAAACTCCCCAAGAAGACCCCCAAGAAGTCTCACCGACGCTGTGTCGCGTGGTTCCAACCCACCTCTCGAGCGCGCTCAGCTGCCGCTCGACCGGAGACCCAGAAGGCAAGAAGACCTGAGCCTGCTCCCGGACTCCCCGAGGAGACACACAAGAAATCTCGCCGAAGCCGTGTTGCGTGGTTTCAGCCGACCTTGCCAGCAATCCAGGAGACCAGCCCGTCTGAGCCAAGCACACCTGAGCCAACCACACTTGTGCCAAGTCCCACTAAGACGAGCCAGACGGTTCAATCTCTACAGTCATTTCCACCTCTGCCGCCATCAGGCTCGGGGGGACTTAGCAAAAAGCCACCTTCAAAACCAAGTGCTCATCTGCCAGGTCCAGTCAACATGGCTGCCAGTAGGAAGGCCATCCAGGGGCACGGCGTGATCATCCTGAACATCTTCAGGGGTCTTAACATCTGCTCACTGATCCTCATGGCCGCTGCTCACTGGATCATGATCGTCACGTCGGGCATGTCGGGCCGCTTTCATTTCTTCGATTTTGCGACGCATCTGTTCGTTTTCGCCTTGACAATCCTTCTCTTCATGACGGAGCTGGGCCTGCCGGCGAACTTTATCGACCAGCGGTGGCCCGCCTTTGGCGAGAGCGCCGGCTTCCTCGTCCTCGGCGGCCTCCAGATCGCCATGGGCTGCCTGACGCTTGCCGACATGGAGAAGCCGGCCTACTACCTCGACAACATCGGCATGCCGCTCTGGCGCACCGTCCTGGCCGCGGGCATCCTCAGCATCATCTTTGGGTTCATCAACATCGCGGCCACCTTCTTCTTCGAGGACCGCAACGCCCACATCTCGGCGCGCATGGTCCGCGACAACGGCCTCCTGGCCAAGGGCAACGACGAGAACATGTACGCGGCGCCGTCGCACCACGGCAGCTCCATCAACAGCTACAGCGTGCGCAACGAGAAGGGCTCGTCGCCCCGCGGCCAGCAGCCGAGCGGCTGGGCCAAGAGGCTGACGCAAGTCTTCGTAAAGAAGCCGAGCGGCGGCGGCGGCGGGTACGACGCGCAGCCGCACCCGGCCCCGCGCGGCGGCGGCTTCGACAAGGAGGAGGACGTCGGCTTCAGGCCGGCCGCGGCCAGCACCGTCCACCCGCTCTACCGCAGCACCGACTTCGACGACGGCCTTGGCGGCGGCGGCGGCCACCAGCGCGGCGACTCGGGCAACGACCACCGCTACACCCGGTACAGCACAGCGTCCCGCCTCAGCCAGTTCTCCGAGCCCCCGCCCCTGCCATCCAACGCCACCATGCCTTCGGGGCCCTACGACAACCTGCCGGGCGGTCGGATCTGAGTAGCTGCAGGCTAAAATCATGTACTTGTTACTCACTCCCCTCACGTCGACTCGGAAAGAGTCACGTGGCACCTAGGGTGCCGCACATTTTCTTTGGCGCTAGCCTATAAACTTTCGCCTATCTTTTCTCGTTTCCTGGTCTTGTCCCGGCGTTCAGGAACGGCGTTTTCTTATATCTTCTGTCATGGGGCTTTTCTATGGGGCTTTTCTAACCGTCCGGAAGGAGCTTGCACAAAAAATACCCCGAGGGATTTCTCGTCCCATCATTGGCATCAGTTTTTCCCGATGGAATCTTTTTGCTCACTGGGTATTGTCGTTTCAGGCTAGACATATACCACCAGTCTTTGGCAGAGACATAGTTTTTTTGTTTTGTCAATGGAATTAATGATGAAATGAAGCTACGCGCACCCTTATACCTTGCCTTGCCTTGCCATCGTGACCGTGTTCGATGGTTTTGCTGTCAATCCAAGTCTTAATCGCACATTGCCTCCCCAAGCAGGTCGATTCTGTCCGTGACCCAAAGGCCCTCCCAAGTTACAGCTTCCTGCCACCAGCGTGGACCGCGGCATGTGTCATAAGGCCCTCTCGTCGCCTCCGTCTCCACGAATCAGCCAATCATTCCCCATCTTTCGTAGTATAGTGGTCAGTATGCGAGCTTGTCACGCTCGAGACCCGGGTTCAATTCCCGGCGAGAGAGATTCATCAGAGATGATATGGTGCGATTGTTATTTTTGTCTTTTTGTTGGTTTTTGTCGGTGGTTGTTTCGTTTTTCTGCCGTAGCTCCCCCTCAAGCACCACGTGATGCCAGGGGCTGAGCTAACCCATGTGAGCCAACCCAAAGTCAGAGCTCATCCGGCCAGCCACCATTCCCGCCCCTCAACGCCACAATTGAGTGAGCCCAGACGGTTGCGGCTGGGCCGCCTTGGTTCCGAGCCGGAGCTCGCTCAGGCGGAGCCACTCTTTTTCTACCCACTTCACGCGCGTCTGACGACTTCCTTTTTTGCTCTCCCTTGAAACCGCAGTCATCGACAAGCCCAGACGACACGTCGCGCTCACTGAGCTTGTCGCTCACACCATTCCTCACCTCCGCGACCTCTTTGACGCTTACTTAAGTATAATTCTCAGCTGTTGCGACGTTTGTGACGACAATCGATTTCCCATTCCCGTCGCGCGCGGTTTGTCGGCCTCCGATCCCGACAGCAGCGCTCCCAACTGTTTCCCACACCCTGTTCGCCCCGTTTGCAACCCGCCCGGCGTAGACAGCCTGTCGATCCGTCCTGTTCCAATCCCTGCGTTCCCCTCGACTCACAACAGCTCGTTGCGTGGTTTGTGTCTGGGCCAGCTGGGCGCTTCTTGGACCTCGGTTAGACGGTGGAGCGGCGCGCTCATCGTTCGGGGCCTCTTTTTGCCTGCTCTCTCGCCAGACGGACACTGTTCCAGTGTTGGGATAACCTGTACCGAGGGAGGGCAGAGGAGGGGGCGAGATAAGAAAAAAACAAGAATCACTCGCGCAAGAAAAGAGGGCTGCAAAGAAATAAGAGAGATTGCGCGAACCGTGGGAAAGGGGAGTGAAAGGGAAGGGCTTTTAGCAGTTGGACATTGATAGAACATCCTGCCGCTGCGCTGCTGCTTCTGCCGCTGCACTTTTCCTTCGCTTTTGTCTGGCGCGTCAAGTTGCAAACGCCCATCCGCGCAGAACCAGCCTCTGATTTGCCGGCTGATTCACTATCATAATCTTACCCCACGCCCACATTCTTGATCATTTTTGAGACCGACCAAGGGAGAGGAATAACGGCAACCAACATCGTCACATCACGTCGCCGCTCAGGAGTCTGCCTGCCCAGGCAGCTCCTCTTCCCCGCGTGCTACGACAACAAAGCGCAGCCACAGCGGTCTTCTTTTTCTCTCTAGTCCCTTTCTTGTCTCGTCACGACCATGTCAGAGGAGGATCATGCGGCGGCGGTGGCCGAGGACTACCGCGATGCGCTGGATGGACTGACCATGAACTCGAGGGTTGAGATCAGCAACCTGACTCTGATAGCGCGCGAAAACACAGAGGCGGCACACGCCATTGCCGAGGTTCTGATAGACCACATTAAACAAGTAGGTTTTTTCCCGCTTAGATGGCCCGAGTGTCTGTTATAGCCAGTGTGCTGGGCATTTAGCCCACAGGCTCCCGCGGGACATGTTTCATGGCCAAGACTCGAGGCGCTTTGGTTTTTATGTCTTGATGAGAATGACCTGCTGAACAAGCCCTTCATCTAGGTGGTCGCCCCGAGAAAATTGCCGGCCCTCTATCTCCTGGACTCGATCGTGAAAAACGTCGGAACGCCCTACACACTCTTCTTCGGCCGGAAGCTCTACCAGACCTTCATGGAGGCCTACGCCTCGGTCGACAATGGTACGCGGCGCAAGATGGACGAGATGCTCAAGACGTGGAAGGAGCCCGTACCCGGCTCGCTGGACACCAGACCCGTGTTCCCGCCCGACACGGTCCGCCCGATCGAGAACGCGCTCATAAAGGCGAGGACATCGGCCCTGCAGGCCCAGCAGGAGCAGATGCGCAGCCAGCAGCAACTCCTCACCGGCGGCCGCGGCAGACCACCGCCCAACGGCCCATACCGCGAGACCCCGACGCCCCCTGGCGGGCCTCGGAACCCTTACGGCCACGCGTTTGCTCCTCCTCCTAGCGGACCCAACGGCAGGCCGTCAGAACCCCCATTGATGCAGGGGTTTCCCGCGCATCACAACCCTCAGGTAGGACCCTCGGGCTCCCTCTCCTCTCTCCGTTCCTACCCCTACTTGCGCCTCTTGGCTGGGCCTGTTCCCCGCCTGTGAGATGGAGCAGAATGAGCTAACGGGTTCTTGCCGGCCTACTTGTCATCTCCGTAAATACAGGGAATGCCGATACTGTCCCACCAGCCACCGCCGTCCGCACCGGCAGCGCTTCCATATGGGCCGCCGGCGCATGACGGTGTAAGCATAGATGCCTTGAACAATGATATCACGCAGCTGGTGTCGGCAACAAGGATGGATATTGCGAGGAACCCGTATGACGCTGTGTTGCAGACAAAACTCAAGGCGCTGTTGGACCTGCAAGTGATACTGCAGCAGGGGAGCCTGCCGAGGGATCAGCTAGTGCTTGTCAAGAATCAGGTTGATGAACTGTCCGTAAAGAACAGGGCCGGCTCTCATGCGGCCCACGCGCCCCAGCAGCAGCAGTACCCTCCAGCGGCAGCACCAGACTATGCCCGCTACAGCACCCACACGCCCCCGGTCGCCGCCCCAGTAGCACCCCCGGCATCGGCGCCCCCGGCCGTGCCGCTCTCGTTGGACGCGCTGCTAGGCAAGGGAGCGCTGGCCGCGCTGTTGGCCGCCGGCCGCCAGACGGCAACGCCGCAGCAGGGAGGAGCAGCAGCAGCAGCGCCGCCACCACCACCACCGCCGCAGCCTGGGGTCACGCCCGCGCTCCCGGCCGGCCTGGCTGCTATTCTCCGACCGCCACCACCGGCTGTGGCACCAGCGGGTGCACCGGCACCTCCCGCCGCGGCAGACCCCATGGCGCTGATGGCCATGCTGCGCTCCTCGGGCCTGCTCCCGCCTACTCCGGTGCCGGCTGGACCCGTGGGTGTTGCTGCCGTTCCAGTGATTGCGCCGACTCCGGTCTCTCTCGGCATGACCCTGCCCGGCGTCATTTCGACGACGGGGCCTGTGTTCAACGAGGCCCTCGGAGACATTTCTCTGAACAGTCAGTCATTGAAGCGGTGAGTATCTCCTGATATATTGTTAACCTTGGTGTATGTATGTCATGTTCAACCAACTAACCGCACGATGCTCCCCGCGCACCGACACAGCCCACGCCTCTACCTCATCGCAACTCTGCACGAGGACCTCGGCAAGCCATGCACGCAGTGCGGGCGCCGGTTCAGGAACGACGCCAAGGGCAAGGCCATGAAGACGGCGCACATGGACTGGCACTTCCGGGTGCACCAGCGGCTCGCCGAGGCCGAGAAGAAGGGCCACCACCGCAGCTTCTACGTCGACGAGAAGGATTGGATCTCGTCGCGCGAGACCATGGACACGGACCACACCGACGCCGGCGGCGCCAACGGGCTCCAGGGTGGTGGTGGTGGGGCCGTTGCCGACGAGGCGGCCGACGGCGCGGGAGGCGATGCCGGAGGCAACAACAACAAGAAGAAGGCTGGCGGCGGCGGTGGTGGCGGCGCGCGCTGGATCCGGGTGCCCGACGTCGGCACCACAAACACCGTCTGCCCCATCTGCCAGGAGAAGTTCGTGATGCAGTGGCTCGAGGAGGCCCAGGACTGGGTCTGGACCGACGCCGCGCGCGTCGGGCCCGACCGCGTGTTCCACGCCTCGTGCCACAGCGAGGTGACGGGCGGCGACGCCGGCGGCGGCGGCGGAGTCATGGGCAGGCATGCGCGCGGCACGCCAGAGCCCGTGCTGGGCAAGCGGAAGGCTGAGGTATGGTGAACACTGCTTTTTTTTATTCCCTTTCTCTTCTAGGGTGGGTGGAGCTGTGTGGAGAGAGGGACGAGGGATGAGGATTTTGGGAGCAGTCATGTTAATGCTTTTTTTGGTTTTTGTGAAAACAGCAGGGTGACCACCGGATGCGGAACAAGCTCAAGATGGACCCCGGGCGTATAAACTACGACGAGCTGCCGTACTGACGGCAAGGCTCGCTGGGCTGTACGGGGGCAGAGTGGGCTGGTGTGGCTTGTGGGTTGTTTGAGACGTTTTGTCGTCCTTACTCCTGTACACGACCCTGTCTGTCATGCCCGCTGTTCCAAGCTGTAAGGATGGCAATCGACGTGTTTTGCTACAGCACATACCGAACACCTTGCTATTGGCGGCTGCAAGAGCAAGGGGAAGGAAAGGAGGGCGCTTGTTCTGTGGCGCAGCTATACGACGCTGCTAGCCACGGGAGCTCGAGCTTGGGGGAGGGTATGCTGCCTGCTCACCCGGTACCCATGTTTGGGTAGCATAGGGGGACAGGCATGGAGATGTGTCGGCGTGGAAGTGTTCCGTCCAAGACGACATGACATGGTGAGGTCCCAGATCCGACGGGAGGGAAGGGTCTTCATTGTACAAGGTATATGGGAGGGGAAACGGTGGCATCGATCTCGTTTCTTTTTTTTTCTGCATCACATAAACGGATGGGAAAAATCCGTACAGGCGGGAGAGGCGCTCTTTTTGCTGTTTCTAGCTGGTAAGCACGCTGGCTGGCCAGGGATCGGCTGCGTGCTACCTTTTGAGTGTGTCTTGTGTCAATAAAAGACTTTTTGAGGCCATCGACTTTCCGCTGCGTAAATATAGTGGCCGGGACGGGAATGAAGCTGTCTCAAGAGACTGGGGGGGCTTATGCGGGAGAGAGAGCAAGGTATCCGTATTGACTGGCAGTACCAAACACCCAAGCCTCGTCCAATTTTGTCAATTTACGGACACGTAAAGAACCAATGGGTACACACTACTTGGTGCAAACTATGCTAACCCGTCCCCCCGTCATTCTACCTAGGTCCTACACAAGAGGTTCTCTGTCCACGACCTTCCGTATTGGCAGGTCTCGTCTGACCCGAAAAAAAAAGCCCAGGGCCACGAATGGGTACATAGGAAAGTAGGCCAGACCGTTTTGTCTGGTAAAAAGAGAAAATGAAAATGTGAGCCAGTCCGCGTTACACCGCGCCGCTCCCCAGCCCCCCATGTTCCCATCAAGTCCCAAACTTGCAGTTAGCCCCAGGGGAAGTACAATGCTTGACTACGCCGGGGAGGATGTGGGCGACGACTGGGTGGCGGCCGGCGCAGCCGGTGCCCGGTTGGAAGTACCTAGTGCAGGGACAGGAACACCGGCTGCGCTTGTATCCCGCTAGGGCTCCACTGGTTGTATGGAAGGCTTCCGTACCCTGGTAATGTATTTGTTTTTGAGTCTTGCGAAAGGACCAGAGGGTTTGGAACTGACGTTGCCGAAGGTAATCCCGGGGGCGGTAGGCGGAGCTGATGTCCCGCCCGACGTACTCAGGGGCGTGCCGCTGCCATTGTGGCCGGGCTCCTGTGGTTTTCGAGGGGGGTTTCGCTGCCTGGGGCGGTGTTTGGTATTTTGGAGTCGCCGTTGTACCCTAGCAAAGAAACCGATGTTGAGCCTAGGGGAGGCACGAGACGGGCGCGAACCAATACTGTCGGCGGAGGCCCCCGGGCTGACCGGCCCCGGGGTTCTTTCCGGAAGTTCACTAGCGGTGCTAGTATCGCCGCCGCTGCTTGTGGGTGACGGGCCGGTGCCGGGGCTGCTACCCTGGATGCTCGCCTTGCCTATATGCTGTGCCCTCCACACTTCGTAGTCTTGTCGCTCCTTCTCCTCAGCAGCGCGCCTGTCGGGCTGTTCAGACTCGGGAAGTTTGCTGATTTCGGCTTCAGCCTGGCCCTGGCGGTCCCACTCCCTTCTGTCGATTTCGCGTGTAAAGGCCTGGGCATTTCTCCCTGCGGGGCCGGTGTGTTAATGTATTGAGACTTCATGTACGGCGAGAGTTACTGTGAAGTAGGAGCAAGGAGTGGTGTAATTTACAGTGTCTGGCGGGACCCATCCGCGGGGGTCCAATTTTGGCCTTGTGAATGGCCCACGGAGCCCTGAGTGTGCGGCACTGCAGGACGGGGTATTTGCCGGAAGGTGGGTCTCTGTCTAGGACGATGTCGCCGCTGAGAAATAACGTCAACGGGAAGATCGTCAAGGGCGTAGTAGTCTTCGCGGACCGGGCCGTCCCTGTTGCGGAAGTCCCAGTCGAGCCCCGAAATGAGTCCGCGGGTGAAGGCGATCAAGCTGTCGCCGAATTGGACCTCGATACGTACGGGAAATGACGAGCGAGAAAAGTCACACCCCCAGAATAAATCCCCTGGGCCTCGGTGATCAGTTGGTACTGGATAATAGGGTGGGTTACAGGCTGCTTCGCTAACTCGATGACCATCTCCTTTATGGCACGAAGCCTGGCCGGACCCGAAGCCATACCGCGCGTGTGATTGTTGTGATGGCCCGCCCGAGGCGCTGAGGCTGGCGGGAGCTGGATGCGGCCGTCTCCCTCTCCCCAAAGCTTCTTCCTCTCCCTCGGAGCGGCGAGGAAGCCGTCAGGGTCGAATTTGTTGGGCTTTAGACGTCCCCGAGAGATTGGCGTGGTAACCTTTGATGGGGAGTCGCCTTCGGGGGTCTTTCTCCGTTTGGACTCGGGCTGATGGCTAAGAGATACTATAGTCTTCGAGGTGTCGATCGATAGGGATTGGGGCAAGCGTGTTCTACTTTGGCCTTGGTGCTGTTTCGGGCGAAGACGGGATTGTTAGGAAAAGCGACCCGGGCGGCTGGACGAGAGGATTTCTGGTGCCCAATGACTACCTGCTTTAGGTCTCAGGCTGCTTTTTTTTTTCCAGCTCCCACGACATACGAGGGACAACGCATCTAATGGCCGTGGTTGAACGCGATGATTGGCCGTCTCGCCCTGCGCCACGTACCACCCGACTAGCCGCAGAAGGGTCCTCCCCAGGCGCACCATCATACTTTCCACCTTTGCCGGGCAGACAAACACACATACGCCCCTCAAAACCGCAACACGTCACGATGGATGCAACAGCAGCAGTGGAGGCCGGGTTCCCCGAGGTGTCGAGGTGGATCGCTGACGACGGCGACGGCGAGGCGTTTGTGTTCCGCAAGTTCGACCGGCTCGCGGCCCGGAACTTGCTGTACCTCCAGGCACGCATGCTCGCGCTGGAGGAGAAAATAGACCGTGCTGATGGCGCCACCTCCGCGGGGGGCGGCCAGGTGGCCATGCTGAGGATCATGCGCAACTGGGAGACCGTGGTCGACAAGAGTCAAGACCCAAACGTTTCCCAAGACTTGAGGGAGAAATGCTTGGAGCAGATTCGCTTGCACGAGGAGCTGAGCCGGCTGATGAAGGAGTATCGTAAGTCTTCTTGCCGCAGCGGTAATCCAAAGTCTTCGGTGCGCTCGCCACCCGAGTTTTATGCTGATGACATCCGTGACCTTTCGCTACGGGGAGCTTCTGGTGATTCAGACGAAGCGCTCGGCCTGCAAAGCCGCATCTCCAGCCTCAGCAGGCCGAACCGGAGGGTCCTGGGGACCTACAGGGCTTGGCTCGAGTCGGCAAACACCCTGAAGGGACTGTCGGCTCAGTTCCTGGACGACAAGCTGGACCTCGTGGCGCTCAAGCAGCCCGAAGACCGTGACCACTTATCCGAGATGCTACGGCACGTCTGGCCGGCCAAGGTAGGCTCACGCCCCTTGACGCGTACTATGGGCCTCTGTTGACACGAGGGGGAAATATCCAGAGCATCACATCCGCGAGCGGCGTTAGGATCGCTCACTTCCACGAGAAGTCCATCTCCACCTGGGCCAACGCCATCAGCACGCTCGTCGCGCTCGCGCTGCTGGTCGGCTCCATCGTCTGCCTCCACTTCCTGGGCGACCTCAGGGCCAAGTTTGCCATGATCGCCGCCTTCGCCGCCTTTTTCGCGCTGAGCCTCGGCGTGATCACCAGCGCCAGGCGTCCCGAGGTCTTTGCGGCCACTGCAGCGTGAGCGCCCACCACGGTCTTTTCCAGGATCTGGACCCTCGATTGTGCTAACAAGTTACGAAATGCCTAGATATGCCGCTGTGCTTGTTGTATTTGTTAGCAATCAGGATTTAACTAGCCAAAGTGGGACTTAACGGGGAAAGGGACAGAATGGATATCAAGGGTGACGAGTAGGCGTTACCTTAATTATCGGACCTACTGGATGGTAAGCTCAACAGTTAAGGCCCTAATTGGAATGGCGAATTAAGGGCTGGATTAATACTTTTGGGAGGTTGGAAGCAGTTGGGAATCCGGCGTTAGGAGCACATAATACAAACCCCATTCGGACTCGTCCCGCTCTTTGGGCACGTAATAAGTTTGAACGGAACATTTCTTGACTATCGCCAAACGATAACAACAAGGATTTTTGCAAACTGAAAAAGCACGGAAAAGTCCATTCGTTCTAAGCTGGAAGCTGCGCCTCACCAGAGAAGCACCAGTTTTTCCGTCGGCCCTGCCGCTTCCCACGCCTCCCTGTGCATAACAGCCACCGTTACCCGATTCCCTATCTCATAGTCGACCTCGTCGATCCCGCCAATTATTACCATAATGTTTACGAGGCCGCTTCCCTGGCCAGTGCTGGGGAAGGCCTGCTCGTCAAAGAGGTCAATCTCGCCCTTAACGCGCGAGGGACCTTTACGGCGCCGTTCGGCGTCCGGATGGGCCGATATGCCAGCCATGTAGACCCCCTTTTTCGCGTCCGCGGTCTTATCCAAGTCGAAGCAAGCAAACACGGGCTGCTCCCACCACAGCCCGCAGTGGCGGCCGCCCCGGCGGCGGTCGTGGATCCGGCGGACGGCCTGGTCGCCCTGGACGTGCGTGCGCCGCGGCGGGGTAATATACTCTAGCTCAAGCGATAAGGAGAAGTTGGATATGGAGACCACGGGGGCCGTGAAGCCGAGGATGTTGCGCACGGGGGGGCTATTCCGGGTGATTGGCAACATGCCGGGCGGAAGAGTGTTAGTGATCCGAATTTCTTGTCTGGAGGGGTCGCCCGAAAGCCTGGTCTTCATGTTCAGCCACTGTGCGTTCCGGTCGTAGCGGAGCTTTCCCGCTGCCTGAGCGGTGGGACTGCAAGGCAAAGGGCTGCCCTGAGGTGTGGGCTCTCCGGAGCTTTTCTTGCTAGGGCCGGCCTGGGATTCTGGGTTGGGAGGCTGTTTCCCTGCCTTTGGCAATTCTGTCTTGGCCGCGTCCGCAGTGCCACCGCAGGGATCCAACCAAACCTTGTAGTCTGAGAGCAGCAGGATGGGCAGCGGCAGGTCCCCACCACCCTCTCCCCCAAACAGACGATACTCCACGGGCCCGTCCCACCCTGCCCACGACCAGCTCGGGAACTGCATGTCGGGCCATCCTATGTTCAAGTTTTCGACTGTGGCCAACGTCATGCCGCGAAGGGGGATCGACCCCGCCGGAGTCCACAGGAGGGCGTGAGCCAGAACGGCGGCCGGGAGGCCAGCGTGGGACTCGCTCTCCAGGTGCTCCTCGAGGACCGAGAGGACGCCCGCAAAGCCATTGATGATGTCTGACTTGAGCGAGAACTCGCGGCGCGTGTAGGTCTCGACAAGAGACGCGTAGATTTTGAAGATCTGGCCGAGCCGCTTTTCAGATGGGGCGTCCCGAATTTCGGGGAGGTGATCCAACACATTCCCTCGCCGGGGAGCGGCGGTGGTGGCGGTGGCGGCGGGCTCCTCCTCGCCGGCCTCGGCAGTGCTGTTGCTGGGGTCTGGGCCATCGTAGACATCAGTGCCACATTCGCTCAGCGTGTGACGGGCGCACTGGAAATACACTGTATCGCGCGTGAAGAAGAGGCACCGTCGGGAGAGCAGATGTTCCTGGAAGATCCAGCCCCGGGTGTTCCATTTGGCCACATCCAGGTGCAGATCCAAGGGCCAAGGGCTAAGCGTGATGCCCAGAGTGTCGACCTCGCCACTTCCCTCGTCGGGATCGTAGTCCAGGTTTGGAGAACCTTTGGAGGCGCGTATCAGCTCGATGTGTTGCGGGCGCCTTGTTCCAGGCGATACGCCCGGCAGGCCGGCTTCGGCGCTGTCACCGTGGAGAGTGACGATAGTCGCAAACGCCTGCCCGTAAACGATGTTCATCTTGGGAATGTCTCTGCTCATCTGCTCTTGGTCATCCTGCACCATGCATATTGCATCGACCCATAGGTAGCGCTCACCGACAGACTCGACGAGTCTCATGGCATCTCTGATGGTTTTGGGGAAGGGCACGTCCGACAGAGATTGGTGCTGCTGGCGGAGCTCGAAATTGGCCTTGACCGTTTTGCACATGTCCACGTTCCCCCAAACGTAGCTCAGCGCAAAATATCTCTCCCGCGAGGTGGAGATGACTAGACAGTCGCCGCCAACATCAATGAAAACCATAGGCATCTCCTCGGCTGCAGAAGCCGCCTGGCCGCCGTCTTTGCAGCGCGCGCCGTGGTTCGTGCTACAGTCTTGCAGCCACCCTTTGATCAATGAGGGGTTCACCTGTTGATCCGGGTGCAACATGGCGTGCTTGAAAGCCATTGTGACGTCGACTTCGTGCAGTCCTCGACTGCCAAACTCCCACAACTGTCTAATCGTCGAGCCGTGGTTGTCGGGAGTTATGAGCCTCACCGTGCCGACCGTTTTTGGGCCATACCTGATCTCCAGCATCGAATCGCCGCTAGGCGAAGTTACGGCCGTGAGCTGTATCCCCTGGAATTCCTTTTCGATGGCCACAAGGCTCGGATGCAGCTCTTTGGCCTCGGTAGTGACTGCGGAAAGTACAAGACGACAAAATACGCAGTCCGTTCTGCAGCACAGTTCGGAGAAGTCCCCAAAGGGCATCGAGGATCGAACGGTTGCCCAAGCATACTCGTTTTGTGGCGATGCCACCCGCAGGGGCTTTGCGACGTCCATGCACATGCGGCAGAGATGCGGATTTGGTTTCCCGCCTGCCTCCCGGGCCTTTTCGCGGGACTGTTGCTCAAGCCTTTCTTCTCGCACGATGAGTTCATACGGGGGGCGCAATCCGGTGACGTTGCATGGGGTGCGTCTTGCCCCATTATGATACAAGCCTCTGACGAGGTCAAGGACGGTGATGCTGGTCTCTTCGTCAACTGCTGGTGAGGGCTCCCCAAAGCCTGTGTGCCCGGAGCCACCTGCTTCACATCGGACCGACCCATCCCCATGCGTCGCTTTCTCTTTTCCCTCGAACAGGTGCGAAATATCTCGCTCAGAGACCGTCTCGGACTCTTCAATAGCGTCTGCAATGGGACGGAGCCGGGGATAACATTTCTTGTAAACATCTTCCAGCGCCGATGTCAAGGGATTATCGGTTTCCCAGTCCAAGGTAAAGTTGTTGGCCAGCTCGCGAGTCGCCTGCCGTCTCAGCTCGCTCTCGACAGGAGCTTTCGCGATGGCAACCAGGAGATCCTTCAGCTGCCACACCCACTCGGCTGAGTCGGGAAGTATGGATTGGCACGTTCTCCTCGCAACCGTGGCGTCTCGCTCGCATAACATAACTTCATAGTATTCGAGGAGCGTCAAACAATCCCTCACATTCTCTGTGATCTTGTAACGTCTTGCCAGGAGGTTGCAGATTACCAATTGGAGTCCCTCCCTGTGGCATGTAGCGGAAGGCATCGTGGGTACACGCTTCGCTAGGTCATGGATTGCGTTATCCAGTTCCTTCATGGAGGAGGAAGCCAATGCGGTGGACGCGCATAAACAGGTGGAGTAGTTCAATGTTTCCGTCACTCTTTGTGTGCTGCCCTCAGGCAATACCTCAAGAAGAAGAGCCGAGTAATGAATCAAGTTCTGGAGATTCTCGATCGTCCGGTCATGGTCTTGGTCTTTTTCCAAAGCCATCTGTGCCCTGAGAAGAATGACCATGTTCGCCAGGATATCTTCCCTCCTCTCATCGTGTGGCGGGAGGGCCTCGAGGGCTGCCTTGTATAGCCCGAGTGCCTCGTCGAAGTCTTCCCGTGAGTGGGTGCGCCTGGCCTTCATTGATGCTATGACGCCGAATTTCCCAGAGGCGATGCCATCCTGTATGAACCCTGGTGCCGTGCTCGCTGCCATAGTCTCCACGAGCGTTTCCGCCTCCGCCTCGAGGGCGCTGTCATGGGCCAGCCCGACCCTGAATCGCATTAGGGAAACCAGATGGCTGAGTATGGGGGCATGGTCCTGGGGGCCCTCATCAGGCCCTTCGTACGCCATCCTGGCGTATTTTATCCCCTCGTCCAGATCCTCTAGGTTACGCGGATGCCTATACCGATTCGAGAAGACGGAAGTCAGATTCATGACGATGGGCAGATACGCCTTGGAACCATGCTTCGCGAGCCGAAATGCGTCGCACCCTGCGTCGACGGCCATATCTATGGCATCCGAGGAACGGGATACCATGTACTGCAAGTTGCGCGCGTAGCACAGCTGGTTGAGATATGTGGGGTAGTCGGGTGATGATCGAGGCACCTTGCGGAGGATAGTCTGAAGATGTCTGGTTGCATAATGAAGAGCCGCTTCGTTCCGAAGTTCCTTGAACACGCCGACGGAGGTCTTAGCCAGAGCGAGGCGCAGCGCAACCTCCTCGCTTAGAGAGAATACACCCGACGAGAGCATATGTTCCGCGTGCGCTTCGGCTCTCTCCGTTCGGCGATGACAATTGCCCGCTTCTCGTCATCCCAGGGGGGATCCGCGATCCTTTCAGCGCGATCGGGGCGGCCTTGAGGTGTGGTATCCACTGCCTTGGTTATAATGTCGACAGCACGGTCGAGGTCGCCCATCGAACCGGTATGTTCAAATCGCCTGCCAAGCCAGTTTTCAAGGTTAATTAAACTGGCAGCGCGATTGGAGTGGTTTTGAAGTGTGGCGTCCACTACCTGGGGTTCGATTGACGATCTTGACCGTCCCGTCGACGTTGCAATCATTTCCTGGTCCTCCTCCCTCGCCCTTCCTAGCCTTCGGTCCAGTACCTGGAGAAGATCCCGGGCATGATAGACTATCTTTTGGCTCCCAGCCTCCGTGGGGTGGAATCGATCGTCAGTGTACGCCTCCTCGATTATGGCGCGGGAAAGGGCGATAATGTCCCGGCCGTTGGCCCACGAGCTCGACTGCGTTAGCTTTTTCAGTAGCTCGAGGACAGCTTCTTGAGAACACGCGCGGTCCGGCTCGACGCCGCACAGCACAATGTCCATTTTATCCAGGTGCATCCGCAGGAGCTTCAGGGCGTCGGGCGCGTCCATGGGCTTGAAGTCGAAAACAGTTGCGAAGCGGCTGCGCAGCCCGCGGTTCCACCGCATAAGGGCCTCCATGTCCTCCTTGTAACCGGCCAGGATGACGACCAGCTTGCCCAGGAAGCGCTCCTTGGTCATGCAGTCCACCATCTCCCCGATGGTGTCGACGGCCTGGTTCTCCCCGAGCCGGTACGCCTCGTCGATAAACAGGACCTTGCCTAGCGCCCGCTCGAACATGCGTATAACCTTCTTGCCCGACCCGTAGGGCGACGTCAGGTCGGCCACCGAGCATTCGATGACCTCGGCCGCAGCCAGGAAGCCCATGTCATAGTAGACCTTGGCCATCTTGCGCGCCACTGTCGTTTTGCCGGTCCCAGGCGGCCCGCGGAAAACAAGGGCCCAGGGGATGTGGCGCCGCGGGTCGTGGCCGCGGGTCCTCAGCCGCGCCGCCATGGCCTGGTACCGCTGGAACTCGTCTATAATGTCCTGTATCCCTTCCATATCGCCGAAAAGGTCGGCACAGCGCTCGCGTGCCACCGTGTCGCGCCTCCAGTCCGGATCAAAGTCTTCGGGCAGCAGCTTCATGTCGAGGTCCTCGTCCCCGTCCCCGTCGATTCTGGCGCATCGAGAGCTGCACGCCGCTTGCGCCGCATCGACCAGGTTCCCCACGTCGCCGCCGTTGCCAAAGTTTGGGCGGTGGCGCGCGATGGCGAGCATGTTCTCAGCCACGCGAATCGCCTCGTCCGAGGCAGTTAGGGAAAGCTTGTTGAGCTTTAGGCGAAGGATACCTGCAAGCTCCTTGTCGCCGTACGGCGCAAAGCGGAAGGAATGGGCTAACGGGAACCGGCGCGCTAGGCCTGGGTTACATTTTTCGAAGGCCTCCGCCATGGGCCCGGGATACCCAATCAATATTATGGCCTCCTTCCGCTCGCTGTTGGGGTCGGCATTGGCCACAATGGTGTCGATGATGCCGGCTCGAAAGACATCCGTCCCGCCCGTATCGTGCATGGTGTCGGGAAGGAGCAGGTGGAAGTCGTCGATTATTAGCACACCGCCGCGGGCCTCGTCGATGGCCTCCTTGGTCCTCGCCTCAGACACCCCGACGTATCTTCCGATAAGGTCCGAGGCGCGCTTTTCGATAATGGTGTCGTTCTCCAAAAGACCGAGCTCCTTGAGGACACGCCCGTACAGTTTGGCAGCCGTGGTTTTGCCTGTGCCTGGGGGGCCGATAAAGCACCGGCGGTTGGCCCACGGCTTCAAGGGCGGCTTCCCCTCGATTTCGAGCCGCCGGCTGAGTACCACTTGGCCGAGGAGCTGTCGAATGGATTCCTTGACCTGATCCATGCCGATCATTTGCTGCAGCTCCACCCAAGCGTCGATTTGGCATCCCAGCTCCTCCGCGGTAGGGCCGAGCAGGTCGGACTTTGTGAAAGCAAAGGATTCCGGCGAACCTGGACTCCGGCCCTTCTTCTCGGCCTCGATCCTCCTTGCACGTCGCCGCTTCAAGGCCTCCAGGGTTTCGGTGACGGAGCTCGGGGTCAGGCTTTTGCAATCTTTGATGGGCCGAACAAACTTTCGCATGTAGGGCCCGTCCCAGCCTCCTTCAACCTCCTTCTCTCCACACTCTTTCTTGACCTTACCCATCAACATGGGAAGAATGTCGTCGGGCGAATACCGCAGGGGGATTATACTCATCCGAGGCACCACGTCGCTTGGCTTTACGATCAAGCGCTCAGCATCCGCGGCGGAATCTGGCAGATGCAGGACAATGACGGGTGGCGTGGTGCCCGCGTGCTTTTCAAAAATTCTTTCCACATTGGAGAACAAACCGCAAGAGTCCTGGTAGTCAATGTGAAGGATCTAGAGAGCGTCGTTAGCAGCGGCGGGTTAAAGCCAAAGGCATGGGCCGCAGCTTGGGAAGGCCGCACGAGTCAAAACATACCCCTCGCTCTCCATCTTTTGTGGCGTCATCCCAGACCTCGTCCATGCAGGCCTCGTCCATGCAAGCCTCGCACATGCAGAGGTGCGGTTTGGTTCGGCCAAGCACGTTGTCTGCCACCAGGTTCAAGCGCTGCAAGAGTTTGATATAACAGTTTAAAACCATCATGCGGGCTAATAAAGGTTCTGTCAGGTCCCAAATTCATTACCCAGAGGGGGCGCCGAAACGAGAATGGTCGTCGCGATAGCGGATGTTTATACAAGAGTAAAAAGGAGAGAGAACTTACTGCTCTCGCTGTCCTCCACGAAGCATACATCCAGATTGCTCATCTTTCGCAGGTCGTCGCCGCGTTTCCGTACCGCCTGCGCCTCTTCGTACACATGCAGGAAGTGCGCCTTCACTTCCTCAAGGCCGGGCTGCAGCATCATCTCGTCGAGCGGCTCGACATCCTGCCGGTCACGCTCCTTCCTCGAGATCCACCGCCGACGAGATGGGGAGTTGTCGTCCACGCTCCGCAACCGGATCGTGCTGGCAGATTCCTCGTATGGGGGATCCACCTCAGGCGACGAGGGACTCTGCGTCGTTACAACGTCTGCACTGGTACCGTTCTCAGCGACGGGCTCACCTTCCTCGATGGCCTTGAGCACCGGAGAGGCATTTTGAACTGTGCCAACATTTCCATTGGCGCTTTCATCGGTAACGAGCTCGCTTTCCTCGGCGGCCTCGGGCTCTGGGGAGGCTTCTTGAGCTGTCTTGACGCCTGGAGTGGTGGTGGCGTTAGGGGTATTCGCGGCGTCCTCATGGATTTCAGGCGGGCTCCCTCCTGAAAAGGCTTCATCGCTGGTCTTGGACTGTGGACTGGGAGGCCATCGGGGCCGGGGACATCTCCACATGGGGTGATGGTGCTCTCATCGCTTGTTGAGAAGTCACCACCCTCTTGACTTGCGCCTTCCGTTTCGCTGTTGCGGAAAGGCGGCACTGCGTCGGGGCCTTCCAGGTCAGGGCTGCTCATTGCGTTCAGTAATTATTGGATTGCGTGCTGGGTGTCTCGGGGTACTTCATTGAAACAAAGCCAGCCTCGGGTTTTTGCTCGGACGGCGACGAGGACTGTTCCCTTAAGTATCGTTGAGCCTCGGAGTGAAGATCGTGCTCTTCGCACTAATCACAATCACGTATTTTTTCTACTTCTAACCACGTTTCCGATAACTACTTATCTTTAAGCGCGCTTCTCACTATATAATAAGTACTTGTTAAAGAGGGAGGCCTCGAAGCAGTCGCCCGACTGTCCTGTATTCCAAGGCTCGACGAGACCACTAACACAAAGTGTCGTTGCCCACCAATTGAGCCCAACCAGGCACTGTCGCCTGCTGGGCTACATCATTGGCTTGCGTGTCTTGGCTCTGCAGCCTGCAGGGTTTCTGCATGTGCAATACCGATTGGATGCACCCATGCCACGTTGGCTTAAATATGCACCTCGGTGCTCGCAACCACCTCCTTTTTCCCTCCCAAAGTCAATCCCGCGAACTCAATCAACGATTTTGGTGGTGGTAGGCACCGCTTGATTACTGAGGTGCAGTTTTTAAGGCAGCGTGGCAAGGTGCATGCAGCTCTTGCCTCCTCAAGTCGCCTCAACTATCGTGCATGCGGACCATCTCCTCGCGCCTTCCCTTAGCGGCGATAATGGCGTCCTGCAACCACTCCCCAGCACCCCAATCCCTCGCCAACCCATCTGGTCAAGTGCCTCACCACAGGGCCCCTCGCTGCCGTGCGAACTACTAAACCCCCCCGTCGCTGCCCTGTGGCGAATGCTGCCGACAGGCAGCCTTGCCGACCTCTCGTCGCTTTCTAGCCCTAAGCGACGAACTGCCGCGCCAAAGAGACGAGATTTCGGACATGGCGATTGTTGGGGCAGACGATCCTCGAAGTAGGTGTGCCCTTTGCAGAGAGCAACGGGAGACCTCCGCCGAGGAAGCAAGGTGGTTATACCCCAACGGGACGGGCTGTACTCCCCGTGTCCCCTCGCCCATTATTACGCCTTGCTTGGTGGCGTAATCCAGCCGACTTTACCAGGAAAACCACTATGCTTACACAACATGCGCTCAGCGTCAACGTTAGCCCAATCAAGCCCGGGCAGCAACCACGTAGAAATAACTTATGTGTCACTTGACCCTAGACTCCGGAATCACGCTTTCCATTTCTCGCCCGAGTTGTATGCTATCTGCGGGATGTGCGCTGCTGTGCTACTTAGCCTTGGGCAGCCATGAAGTAAGCCCGCGTGGTATCGCGTAGATCATCAGGCTCCGCATCCATCGACTGCTGGCGGTGCTGCTGCTATCATGCGGGCGGCCGAGCATAATCGCAATCATGCCTGTCGCCAGTGCTGGTCCCGCCAATCATATCAAAACAGTCGCAGGGCTTGGGCGGGGATGCCGGGTCGACGGTGGCCATTAGCGAGGACAGGCCGCGCACCCCGCCGCCGTCGAGGGCGAGCAGTCGGATGTGGTCGCCGGGCATTGCGAGTTGTGAGATATGACGGGTGACTTGGAAGGGAAACGAAGATGGGAGAGCAAGGGGAGATGAGGGCTGAAGGCCGCTATTGGCGGCTGCAGGCCATGCTTGGCGGCTGCAGGCCATGCTTGGCGGCTGCAGGCCATGCTTGGCGGCTGCATGCCAGGCTCCGCCGCAGCCACAGCAGTTTTCTTGTTGCCCGGAATCTAGGCAGCGCCAGTAGGCGGGGGATTCCCTACATCCAAAAAGAATTAGTAGACTTTGTGTTTGGTGTCGGTTGTGAACAGGCACCAGCGGGAGGTTCTGTGAGGCGCCAAGGACGTGCCCCGGCCATGCCGGCGCGGTCTCTCTGGTACGAGGCCGATTCATCTCCGTGATGGTCGCCAATCTAGACCTGCCAGCGTAGCTGTTGAAGTCCTCAGTCAGGCCCAGCCCCTGACCTGCAGGCCCCGGTGCCACGCAGTGGTCTAGAACTTTTTCTACCACTTCTAGATAGTCAATCAATCTGTGGTCTACTGCAGCCCTGCATCGCCTCGCACTTTGAACGGAACACTCGCTTGACAGCCCTCCGCCTGTTGTGTGGTCGGCTATCAAGCTCCTGAATCTCCACCCGGCCCCCCTGAGCTGTCCTTCGCCACCCCAAGTATAGTCTCCCACCAGGTGCGGTAAGGCCCCTCGACCCATTTGCAGATTTCGACCAGCACGGCAAAGAGGGAGTACGCCGAGTCGAGCGTGTCGGTGCTTCCAATGGTAATTGGGCCAATGATTTCGATCTCGTGACCTCTGTCGCATGCAAAGTACAGCTTCCAGGCGTGCTCGTGGCAGAGAAGCAGGGGCAGTGCGATGTTGACCGGGGATTTCACGAGGTTTTGAACACGCTGATGCCAGGCAGCTGTCCAGATGCCCAATTGCACGTTGCCCTCTGCGGCTCCCGTGTTGCACTTGGTTTCAATGCTTACGCCGATGGGGTTGAAGACGAGGGGGTGGTAATTGGTCTGGTTGACGGACTGGACATCAGGGGGTTGATCGCGGACAAGGCGAACAATAGCTTCGCGCAGCGGCGCGTCGGAGGGGCGTCGGTTATGGAGGTCGAGGGTTAAGACATAGTCGACCATCTTGCCTCCCGCAACTCCGTTTTGTTCCTGAGCCTGGCTGTTCGCCATGCCTGGAAGCCACATGTTGGCTATGCCTGCGCTCATCGTAGGCTCGCAGATGACGCCTCCACCTCCCCATCCCGAGACGGAGCGTGTCGCGAGCTTGAGGAGCGGCCAATGCACCGCGTTGTTCCAGGCGAGCTCGTGGCGGATCCGCTTGATCGATGCCTTGGTCTCGAACACGATCTCGGAGAGCGCTGCGAATTGTATCTGTGCCGCCAATTTCTTTTCCCCGTCCTCGTCCTCGTCCTTGTTTTGATCACCCTTTGGCCGGAACCACTGGCTCGGCCAGTTCTTCCCGTCGGGTACATTTGCCCGGATGATGTCGCACGCTTCGGCGGGCAGGAACTCTGTCTTCCACCTCGTGATGCGCGTGATATGGGAGAGCAGCTCGCGGGCAGCATCGTCGGTAAGTTGTGCGTCTAGGTCGTCGCCCGGTTCCTCAAAGTGTACCGGCTTGGAAAGGAATTCAAGGTTCACAGTACGTTTGACGGGGCTCGTGGCGCGGCTTCTGGTCGAGGTTCGAGAAGAAGTTCGGGACTGGGAGGTCGTGGAACTAGAGTAGGCGGAAGCTGCTTGTTGGAGGCGTAAGGGGATCGGAGCCAATTGCCGTGGTTCGGCTCTGGTCGCCGGTATCGGCGTCGTCTCTTGGTCGTCCCCATCGTCATCGTCTTCGGAACGCTTTCTCCTCTTGGGTGACAGAGAAATAGGGGGTGTTAAAGGCATTTCGGGTCGGTGTGCCTCGTTGTTTTCTGGTAGTTTGTGGAGCCACGAGATAATCTGGCTGCTACAGAGAGGATCCATGATATCGGCCTTGGTAGGGATTGCTGCGTTATATCGTCATTTAGGCGTGGTCGTGGGTGGGCGTGGAAGACGAGCTGCAGCTTTTTGTTGTTCCCAGCCCAAATCTTTCTTGACCTTCTCGTTGACCAACCAGCGCACCTTGCATGGACTGTGGGGTGCGGGGAGACACCCATCAGGCCCACCAGAATCGCGTCATCCAACAGCTACATTTTCGGATACGAAAAAAAAAGTAGGAAAAAGGAATAGTTAGCGCTCCCTGCATCTTTGCTGCTGGTGAGTGTGCCTTCTGGATAAGTTCCCTCCCCGCCCAGAAACCGTCAACATGCCTCTCTTGACCTCGTCGCCACCCTCGCTCCTGTGGCTACGAGACGAAGATGGTTGCAGTGAACGCAGAATTCCCCACTATAGATTCTAGCCCATCTGATGCAGGGTTCCTTCCCACAGCGGCCCCGCCGGCTTCAGGTTCCGCGTCCAAAAGAAGGGAAATCTCATCGAGCCACTCGGACTCGGCGGCGGATTCTGTGTGTGCTCAGCGGGGCGTCGATTAGTCCTAAGAAGATCCCATCTGTTGGGTGGGCCGGGCTCGCTGAAATGCGTTTGGTGTCGGGAGATTCACGACAAGGGGCCGCCACCAGGGCTTGTGATAAAACCCCCGCGGCTTCAACTGTGCGCTCGCTGTCAGTGCCGGGGGCTTGTTCGTGAATGCCCGATCGTAACGCGATCACCAAGTGCAACGCGCTAGGCACCAGGTCGCCTTCCCAAACGCAGCCTTAAACACGTTGCCCCTCCATTCTGGTGATGCAGTCGTGCGACAGCACGATGGCCCCGAACCAGTCGCCCGAGCCGTCGAACATATCGCACTGCACCTGCCCGCCCCCCTTGAGGCCGCCGGCGCCGGCGCCGACAGCGCTGCTGTCATTGTCCGCTATCGCGCCAGAACCGTTGTGGTTGCTAGCAGTGTTGGCAGTAGTAACGTTATTAGTATTGGTGCCCGCCGGCGGAGGATCGGCATCGACCGCTCGCGGTCCGCCAGCCCCGCCCAGCCCCTGCGGAAGGAGCCCCGGTTAACTCCGAAGGCGTGGTCCGGGAGGATCCCCGTGAAGTCGGTGCCGTCCCGGAGTTCCGGCCGGTGGGGCCTGCCATAGGGGTCCTCCTCGTGGGGACCCCGGGTTTCATAGACGCGTTAGTTGTTGTTGCCGTGGCCCCGTTCCCGCCGGCGGTCGCGGTCACGGTCGCGGCGGTTATCGGGATTATGGTGGCGCGCGATATTGAATTCTACGTAGCTCTGCTCCCTGGGGGTATAATCTATGGGTAAGAAGGCGGTCGAGGTAGCCCTTATTGGATCGCTTCGACCACTGGCTCGTGTCGGATACGGACCGTGACTCCTGTCGCAGGTGCCCTGAGCGCCGAGACGCCGCCGCCGCCTGATTGGCACGCGTGTGTACCGGCGACGGCTTGCTGGCAGAAGGAGCTGAGCTGAGTAGTCAAGGGTAGCATTGCCAATTTATTTCATGGGGATAGCCCAAGCGCAGGCCGAGCGAGGAGGAATAGACCCACGCCAAGGGACTCGTCCTCGTCGTCCACGGATCCCATCGTAGGCAACCAGTTGGCCCAAAGCGAAGCAAAAGCGCCGAAAGCATAGAACCGCCCCTTTACTCCAGGTTTCCTCTGAACAGAAATCTCGCGCTTGATAGGGCTGGGTATATGACGGTAAACTATTCGTCTTGGAGCCTTTCAATGGCTCTGGGAGCACAACAAGTGGACTCAATGAGGGATTTCTTCACAAAGATCGGTATCCACGGACGCTTTCATCGCCAACTTGCTCATGTTGGCGAACCCTTCGGCAGCACGGGGGCGGGGGAGTGGTGGGCAGCGCCGAGTATCGTTATGCTGACAAGCGTGGGTGGTCAGGGGTTCAGGCAGTATATTAGAGCAAACGGCCGAAGCCTTCGTCTATGTTAAAAATCGTAGCGTCATAGTCGTGACGGGATGCATTTTTTTGTACGGTGTATCGGAAAGCCAAAAGACAACAAACCAACAGCTACCAAAAAAGTTGCATGGTACAAAGACCACCCGCGTGACAAGGGAGGAGAACAGCGCAAAGGAGATAAAGGAAAGAAGGCCGTAGCCCCCCCGACAAGCGAGTGTGCCACCGAAGCGGAAAAAAGACAAAACACCTGGAAACACGTTCCGCCACCGATTAACATGCAGATGTAAAGAATGACGAGAAGGAGAAGTAAAAATCCAGATCTAGAACGGAAAAAGCAAAAAAAAAAAAAAACCAACAGAATGGTCATGATCGTCATACTCGTCAGAGCAGACCGTTGCCGGTCCACCTCGGAGCGTTCATGATGGCGAATATTAGTTTGTGTTGTACAAATGAGGCCACCTCCCATAAATAAATCCGTCAGACATCGTTTTTAAAAGCCGTTGCGCCAAGATGAGCATGAACAAAGAAAGACAGCATAAAGTCTTGAAAATCTCGGCGCCAAAAAAGGAGGAGAGACACTTGTGCAATCCGGTTTCTTCATTCTTCCAGCGAAAAGAGGCCGACCCCACTAGAGGCGATTCTTTGGCTGTATTTGGTGCAAGCATATGTTCAACGAGAAAAGAAGAGGGCGAGAAAAAAAAAATCAAGCCCAGCCACCCCGTCGGTTCTCGATGCCGTCGACCGAGCCGACCATGATGACGTCGTTGACGCCCGTCTTCAAGTCGATGGGGACGTGGGCGACGACGACGTGCGACGGCGCGCGGTTGGCGCGGCGGTCCTCGGGCGACAGCGACGCCAGCGGGCCGCCGCCGCCGCCGCCGCCGGCCGACTGGTGGTGTTGGTGCTGGATGCCCGGGCGGCGCACGCGCTGCGGGTAGTGGAAGCTCGGCGCCGCGACGGCGCGCACCGACGTCGTGTCCTTGACGGGGCTCGCGGGCGCCGTGCGGGTTGGGGAGGCCGAGGCCGAGCTGTGGTGGGAGCGGTTGTGGTGGTGGCCGTGGCCGTGGCTGTGGTGGGAGGACTGCTTCTGCGGCGACGAGGGCGCGGGCAGCGGCGGGGGCGACGCCACGCTGCGTTTGGCGGCGGCGGCGTTGTCCCTGGTGCGCGGCGGCGCCGACGCCCCGCGGAGCATGTGGCCGATAGGCGGAGGCGCGAGGCCCGTCGCCGTGCCGTGGCCGCCATAGCTGCTTCCAGGACGGTTCGAGACGCCGGTGGCATGAGCGGAAGGAGGAGCACCACCGCCGCCGCGACGGCGCAAGCTGCCCGACTCGCGCGACGACTGCCTCTCGAGGTCCTGGAGGTCCTTCTTGGACGGCGTCTTGGTGAGCTTCCTGTGGACGACGGGCTCGACCTGCTGGTAGAGGCAGTTGTTGTTCCGGTGCGAGAGCGGCGGGCCGCCGCCGCCACCGCTGCCCCCGTTACCGCCGCTCTTGCGGGGCGACGACTGGCCGGCGTTGACGTTGCTCGAGGAGCGCAGGGCGGCCGCCACGGCCGCCACGGCGTCGGCGGCGGCGTCGCTGTTGCGGCGGTTGGACAGGCGCGACGTCGACTTGCGCAGCTTCTTGACCAGGCGGCGCGCTGGGTTGTCGCTGGCCGTGGTGCTGCTCGTCATGGACTCGGCGTCGGCGCGGTGCCGCTTGGTGCCGCGCGACAGGGAATCGCCGCGCCGCCGGCCGTACGACGTCGACGGCCTGCGGGGCTCGGCGTCGCGGTCCACCATGTCCTCGTCGTCATCCTCGCACTCAGAGAAGTAGCCCCTCGAGACCGCAGCCACGAAGCCGCCGCTGCGCTTCCTGGGCCTGGGGAAGCCCCCGCTGGTGGCCGACGTGGAGAGCACGTTGCGGCGGTGGCCCGGGGCGGGCGAGTGCTCCGTCACCGGGGCGAGGTTTGGCGGCGCGTTCCTCGACGAGGGCCTGCTGCTGGTCATTCCGGGCGGCGGGGCGTGTCTACTAGACTGGATGGCGTGCGAGTCGAAGAAGCCCGACTTCATGAGCTGCTGGTAGCTCTGCAGCACCTCCTCCCTGGTCGGCCGGGGGCCACCCGGCGGGCCGGCGGCGGCGAAGGCAGCGTGTGGAGCGGCGCTGGGGGTAGCGGCGGCGGCGGCGGGCGGGAATGACTGGGTCTGCTGCAAGGGCGGGACGGGCGGTCGTGACGCAGGCGCGGCGTCCTTGGGGGATGGGTTGACGACGTTGATGGACGACTTGCTGCGCGTCAGGCGCAGGCGCTCGCGCATGCCGTCCCACAGTGGCGCGAAGAAGCCGCTCGACTTCTGCTTTGGCTGCTGCTGCTGCTGCTGCTGCTGCTGCTGCTCGCACGACGGCGCCGAGTGGCGGTTGGGGTTGGAGCCGGCGCTGCACGACGAGCCGGGAGGGACGTTCGTGGTGCCCCAGTCCGAGGCGGCCGTGGCCGGGCCGGCCCAGGAGCTGCGGCTGCTGAGGGACGAGGCGGCGGTGACGGTGCCCGAGGGCGAGGGCGTGTAGTCGTCGCCGAGGAAGTCGGCAGGAGGCGCGGCGCTGACGCGATCGTTCATAGAGCCCTCCTGAAAGCGCGAGCGGGCGGCAGCGGCCCTCGAGCGGAACGAGGCGAACTGCAGCTGCTGCTGGTGCTGCTCATGATGACGCTGATGATGGGGTGGTGGTGACATTGTGCGCTGCGGGCTGACCACGGCTGCGGGTGCTGATCCGGCAGACCTGCCCATATTTTCGGTTCGTGCGGGAGCTTCGTGCTGCTGGTGGAACGCCACGGGACAGCCGCATCAGAAGCTTAAAAGGGAGATTTGGGGGTTTGTTTACTCTAGGCCGTCCTCGACAAGACAAGACGTCGTCCCGAGCAGACGCTCGAAAGCAGAAACACGGCACAACAAAAGCAGGCCGTTGGCACAAAAAGCAAAGACGGGAAACGGGCAATATACTAGGGCGCTGCCATTGGAGAAGGAGTGTGTTGGGTTGCCCTGCGACGAGTTTTGGCAAAACGCATTGCAATATTGGTCGTTGCTTTTCTTTTTTTGTTTGTTCAAGCGGCCTGGCCTGTCGACGCGGCCCAAAGCGCGTTTGCACGGCAACCGTGGGGTCAAAGCTTCCAGAAACTCTGGTTCAGGGGTCCCTTCCTGCGGACCTGCAGACCGGGCCCCACAGCGCCCCCACCCAGGACCCCGAATCCGTGGCTCAGGATGGCACACCGCAATGTCCTACTGCAAGCGCTGCATGCTGCTGCATGTCTCTGCAGCCCGCTGCGGGCTATTGAAACTGCACCCTTCCCAAAAACCCCAAAAATCCTCCGCGATCGCCCCAGCCGTGCAGCACGCCCCTCTGTTCTGCTGACCTGGACTGCAGCACCCGCCGGCCCGGCGCCGTCTCCATGGCGTCCGGTCGGGGCTGTCCCCGGAAGGGAGAAAAAAAAAAACTAGGTGCCATGTGACAGCACACGTCGCTGGGACGACTACCAGACAACTGATGGACCCTTGGTGACGGAGCCGGCCGAGACTGTTCGATGTAGCAGTCTTTTGAGTCTGGCCAATCACGTCCCAGGACTAGCCTAGTATGAGGCGCCACAATTGGACTCAAGCAGGGATGGTGACACAGCCTCGCGAGGCTTGTGAGTGGAACGCCACAAGCCGAGATACCCTACAGACAACAGCCCGGGCCTTCTGATGATCCAACACTCATGTTTGGGACAGGCAAATCCGAGCTTTTGTATGAGACCACGAAATCCCACAACATGGGTCGAAACCTGGCCATCCCCATTCCTTCATGTCCGTCATGTCCATCATGTCGTTTGTAGGATCGGGGTCGTCTCTTTGATACTACTCAGCCTTCGCCCCACGAGACGGACGGTCGAGTTGCACCACACGATGCTGACAGGCAATCCCAACGCTCATTGCGGACAGAGGCAATGCTGCAATCTGAGTGACCCTTTCTATCCTGGCATCATGTTGCAGGTTCCCTTTCTTGCCGCCACAGCCCGCTCCTGCTCGCCACAGACAATTTCCCTGGTGGCCGCCACACGAATCCCCACCGTAAGCCTAAAAAAAACCCCAAGCATCAGTCGCGGCAGCGGGCTCGACCTCTCTCTTGGACCCGCTACTGTCGAAAATGCTGCAAGCAACAAATTCACCAAGCTGCAAGCTGCTGGGTCGGACGCTAAGCCCATGACAGGGGTTGGTCAAGAGGACCATTCTTTCAGGGAGGGGGTTGGCGTATTTTTTTTTATCTTTTTTTTTCTTTTTCAACGGCAAGTTTCCCAGAAGCCTTATCATTGTCCGTTTTGAGCATGGCAAGAGAAGCACACCAATGATTGACAAGTCTCTCGTCGGCCTCCGCATCCGAGACGCCAGACGTACGGCCCAACGGTGCTGAGCGCAACAGGCGGGGGTGTGTCCACTCTGCTGCGATTGCTACGCCGAGTTCTCTGCAGCGCGTATGAAAAAAAAAAAAAAGGGTTGGAAAGTCGTCATATGTAACTATAAAGGCACGGACATGCACCCGAAGTGGCGAGCCAGCCTAGTTCTCAGGCAGCTCGCAAAGGCCGGGAAGGGGATGCTGTGCTTGGCAAGACACGAACACTAACCAGAGTAGAAATGATAGCTATCACCATGAGCTAGCAAGCCTCTCGGCGGCTGGGCGACTACTGGATATCACCCGGGACTTCTGTACAACCAACCCTGATGGCTGCGAGTTTGTCCCAGCAGAACTCAAGATGAAAGGTGGTTCATCAGGCTTCATATTCCATTACTGCTTTATACTGCTGATGTCTGATTGGAGCGGGCATGCTCTACTCTTGAGGGAGAAAGGGAAAAATGATATTATAGTTCTCGGCATGCGCCTTACGTCTCCTAACAGTTATCAACCGCGTGGGTCCTAACGGTGTGAGTCCGGTCTTGGCCCAGATATCCACAACACACCCCTCAGCGAATATTGAACCATCGTTTTTCCGCCCTAGTACGCCTAGCTGCTTTTAAACTTGCCGGCGTGAACAAATTTCTTGCACGCAGCTGTTCCAGTCGTGCCTTCCGCGCCCGGTTTCTTTCCGGCTCGCTCGCTGCTGACAGAATGTCATCCTCGAGGAGCTGGGGCGGCAGCGGGCCAAACAACTCCACCGGGTCGTCGCCGTTTGCAAACCCGGCCATCGTCTCGCCGTTCATCAGGCCTTCGACGTAGCACTCGCCGACCAAGAGGTTGTGGTCGACCCGCCAAGGCTCGGTCGGGCGCGGTTGCCGCCCCGCGCCCTCGCCGTCATTCTCGTCCTGCTGCCGCCGCCATGACGTAGGGCTCAGGACAAGAGGGAGATCGGCGCCGGACAAGACGCAAACGACGTCCCCTTTTTCGAGCAGGTCTGGCCCGAGACCGAAATACCCGTTCATAGTCGTAAAAAGCTGCCGCCGTGCGCTTACGGAATCCACGGTGCTGCAGAAGCGCGACGTGTTTCCGCCTTCGGCCAGGCTCTCCAATTTTTCTTCCAGTCGCGGGTGTCGCTCGAATATCCCACCGTAGCTCTTGGTCTCTTGACGCTCGCGCTCGGCGCAGTCGAGAATGTAGGCCGCGAGATCCGCGAGACAGTCGTCGCTGTCGGCGGCTTGCAAGGAACCGTAAGCGTCGCGTCCTGCCGTCAAAGTACGGGCCAGGAGGCGCAAGCCGCCGTCCGAAGCGAAGAACCACCCATTGCACCTCCAAGGAGTGCCGTAACCGCCTGGCGCCACCCGGTCCCGTAGCGTTTTACAGCCATGCCGATTTGGATGCCCTCGACGAGGAGGTTGTTGGAGCCGATCGGAGAACCGAGGTGGAGGGGGAAGTCCTTCGCGGCCGCGAACCGGTCGTCACGATCCCAGGGAGCTAACGTAGCGCAGCAGGCTACACTCCAATTGGGTACCCAAGAGGGCAGCGGCTGGTGTTCTGGACTCCGCTCTTCCTGGAACGTGGAATGGCTTTCACTGGCGCTTCGGAGGGCCTCCAAATCAAACGTATCGTGCTGAACGCTCGAAAGCAGGGACAGGTTGTGGGACTCGCCGATGGCCTTGATTGCCACACGCTTCCACAGCTCGCGCTCTGAAACGGAATAGTCGGGCCGGAGGAAAAGCAGGCCTGCTTCGGGATCGCTGTCGGTGGTGCGGATGCCGAGCAGGCCGTAGAGGCGGTCACGCGCGTCAGTCACCGCGAGCTGCCGCGTGAGGCGCAGCAGCTGGATGAAAGACAAGGTTATAGGCGGCAGGTCGCTCATGGGAGAAAGTCTAAACATGAGGTATGCGTTGTAGACGCCGCCCATGACCATGGCCTCACAGATGGAGCTGTAGTTGGTTCGTCGTATGGCTGACGCAAGACCGATCCACCTCCAGTCTATCTCCGCATGCCCCCATCTCACCACGGCCGACTGCGCCAGCACGACCTCTTGGACGACCCGGACACGCCAGAACCAGGGTTGAGAGAAGAGGCCGGCGATGGATTTCCACAGCGGCGACGTTTTTGCCGAGACCGCGTCAGCGTCGATTCCAGAATCGGAAGGCTCAGGCTTAGGGCTGGAAAGCCCTATTGTTTGATATGAGCAACTGGCGACACAGTCTGGGAAGCAATTACGGGAGTTTTGCTCACCTTGATCCTCGCAGTGTCTGAACTCTCTCGTATCTTGCTCGTCGACTGGGTTCGCAACCCGGTAGCTGGCAGTCTCGAATCCGCCTTGAGCTTCCGCCGCTTTTAGAGACCCCCAGTTATTCACAATATCGCAGATAGCCCCAAAGGCCAGCTGGGCCTCGGGAATTTGCCGTTCGGTGACCTGAAAAGGGTGCGAATATCTCGTGTTGTCACCAAGCCATACAATGGTCTGTCGGGCCCGGCGGTAAATGGAAGCCATCAGCGAAACCTGGTGCCCCCGCTCGGCCGTGTCCTCTTGGTTGATGCACACGGCGTCTGCCCACAAGAAGATCCGCCTCCTGGCTGACCTCACGTGCCGGATTGCCTCGTGCAGGTTCGGCGATATCTTTAGCTCGTGACCATCGCACAGGACCGCGAACATCTCCGTGTTGCTGGGCGAGTAGCGCCACGAGGGGTCCTCCCAGGCGTAGCTCAATGCGTCATCCTGCAGATGTAGGGCGTCCAGGTCGATGTGATGGAACTTGCATATAACAGGGCTCTCGAAACTTCCAGGGTCGATCTCGAGAACTCGGAAGACGCTGGCACTGTGAATCTCATGGTACAGGACGCCTGTCTTGGTTCGATACTGGTCGAAGGCGCTGCCCTGAGCTGCTGCTATCTTGGGGAAACTTGGAGCTACCGGAAACGGGGGGGGGGGGGGGGGGGGGCGGCGCGCGCGAGAGTGT